CGCAGAATTGTCGATTTGGGGCTCAATTTGGTGATAATTGATATAAATCCAAGCGACGGCGTGTAAGGATGAGCGCATGGTAATGGGGAACATTACACTCATGGATCAAACAAATATAAGTGCACTATGATAATATGTGACCCCAGATTTAAAATATGAGATACAGTTTCAATCCATTGTCACTTTTTTAACTTGAACAGAAATCTGAGCCATGATGTAAATTGTACACATAAAATACCACGAGTAAGCCGTGTTATTGATATCCTAGATAAACAAATTAAAATAATACGAAAATACTCTTAGGTACACTATATGAACCGCTCGATTTTTTTCTTTGAAATATTCCCAGTTATGTTTGTCTCTTTCTCTGTTATAGTGGGGTTGTTCTCTCCGTGATATGATCTTGAACAATTCAATAAGTATTGTTCTGCAAAGAAGAGTAAGTACTAATATTAATACCTGGCCTCCTCTCAGAAGCTACGTTATCGCAGCTATGGGGAATGGTGCTGTGATCTTCACAGTATACAGGGTTATCATTCAGTGAACATAACAAATACGCTTTAAATATCATAAAACTATCCGAACTTCAATAAAAACAAAAAGACACCAGGAACTGAGGGAACACCAAAACAAAAGGACAAACACAAAACCAATTTCCATATATTGATATGAAAACCAGAGGCAAACCCCGTGTGTTCCGGAAGCGTTCCCTGCACAGTATTTAGCACTCATAATAGCTTTTACATACGGAGAGGTGACAAGCTGTAAATGCTATCAGACCACTGGATGTTTGAGCAGTAATATTCGAAAAGCTCTCTTTAATTATGACTTCTAGAAAAAAAGGAAGAAATGAACTTTTGATTGTAGACGCAACAAAAATGTACAACACCGTATAGTTTTTTTTCGGCCACTTAGCTAATATATAATAGGACTCATCAGTGGTAATAATTCAAGTCAAATTTCCTGTCTATAGTGTTCTTCATCAAATCAGTTATCTATTAGTCACGCTATAAAATCAAAGATAAACCAGATTACAATGCACCTGAAGTCGTTTGATATATTACAAGTACATAACAAATTATGCACGCTGACATCTTTGTCCGTAACGACGTGGTTAGAAGTGCGTTAGATCCGTCCAAAATACATCACTATTCACTGTCTGCGAAGCACCTGAAGGACATTGGAGATAAAAAGACCCATAACATGGTATTAAGATAAGAAAATGTCGTTACTCAGTAAGAAAGGACATTCCTCTCTGGCGTGTGGGCTTCACCTTAAGATTGTTATCGCCAGTTTCACCTATACTTTGTATTTCTACTGATCCGGTCACTTTGCTGGCTGCACAGCTTACTTGGACCGTTGTGACTTCTGGAGTTCCTGTATTGACCTGCACTGGCTGATGTTATGTTCAATGTCTGTGGTCTATCGCGATCGGCTTCCTCGCATTTCGATAAAATCCATATAATGTATAGGTTGTTAGTATGTTGATAATTTTAAATAATATGTTTTCCATCTATGTATATATCAATGCTGCTTTTATGTATAAATAATATTGTATATAGTACGCTGCCCATTGCATTATAGTGGCCATTATGTAACTGTTTAATAACTTGTGCCCAATTCCATTTAAATTGTTCAAATAAAATGCATGTATATTGAAACGACACTACACCTGGGAGCATGTAAAATTGTACATATCCCAAGATGACCGTACGGTTCCACCGCGAGCGGTAAGATAATCTTGCGAAATCCTTGCGGGACACTTACGGGAGACTGCCGGGTATGTTCCGATGAGTTTGGGTCAGAAAAAATCGGGCGGACATCGGCAACTTTTATCTCCGCGCTACAAGCTCCCAGCGACCCGTGAAGCGTCTAAAAATCGGCTGATAGTGGCCGATAATCTCCCGGCCACATTACGGTTCCCAGGCTTGCCGGCCGATTTTGGCCAACAAACTCATCGTCCGAACGCCATTTAGGAAATCGGCGCAAAAGTGAAAGAGGAGGTTTTAATGTCGGTAGCGTCCCGTAATGGATCGGCGGCTCTCTGGTGGCCTAAATGTTTACCGTACTGGTACCAATGTGATACCGTAGTACAGTACCATATATATATCTACCGAATACCACAGAAATAGTATTGATGCGCCGCCGATGTACTTACGACAGAAAAGTGGTATTCGGTAACACATGTACAATGGCTCTTACATCGGTAGGACAACGGTAGGACAACGGTATCGCAAAGGAAACGCCGGTACTATGTCGGTATTACTACGGTCAATTTTGATTTGGTTTCAAGTGCTTTCTCGCCGAAGCTCTGCCGATTTCTCTCGCCGTTGTTATTTTTTTTGCTACGGTTTAGTCCCGGTGAGGAACATCGATAGTGTGTGACAGGCCTTTTACAGCTAGCCCCTGCAATAACACATTTTTTTAGAATAAGTCTTGAGTCAGGAATAATACATAAGAAAGAAAATTTGCATTTGCTTTACGGGGTTTTATTAAAAATAAATCAGAGAAATATCGACCGGTGTCGCTTGCTTGTGTGGTAAGACATACACAACATCAGGGAAACCTCTAGAAGTTCATCAAAAACACACACAGCAGCAAAATGGCTTTCCTTCTAAACCCTGCTCTGAATTCAACCTGATAATTACAACACATACCATAATGGAAAATGCCGATGAAAAATTCAGAATGCTTATATTGGAGTTAAGCAGGCCATTTGAGGAATAAGCAAAGTAAACAATTGCGGAAATCGAACTCAGAATACTGGCTGCTTTTGTTTCCAACTGACAGCAAGTGGTAGTGGAGGGTCCAGTTGTCTGAGGCCAATTTATCCAGCGCTTCGCAGGGAACGGTTCTCAAACTCTTATGTTCCTCTGCACATTATTGAAAAGGGGGTTTGGTAAATAAACGAAAATCAAAGGAGACTGCCTATCTAGTTTTTCCCCGCAGAACTTGTATTTTCTCTTTGTTTGGCGAAATTTCCACATTTCTCTTCAAGTTATAAGAACACTATGTGTTCCTGATATTCTTCTAATGATATTGATAGATAAGTTCCGAGCGTCATGGACAATTTATATTAAAGAGAAACTATATCATTTAGAAAACTATATATAGATTAGAACTGAATCATGTTGAAAAAAAAAGGTTACTAGAAAAAGTGCGATTAGTCTACTTGATATGGGATACACTATGTATGCCAGTCGAGCGAAGTGCCTGCCTTGTTGATCAAACTGCTTGGTAAGCGCAGAAAGAGCAGGCATTGTGTGGTATTTCCGAAATTCCCATCAATAGTACTCAACAAGCGGAATATTAAAAAAAATGTAGTGGTGGAAATTTGAAATATGTTATAAATAAATATCGTATTAAATGCTTATAAGTATTCCAGTCACCTGAAATTGTTAGCGTCATTATTTAACTAAACAACAGACCAATCAAATATTAATATTTTAATATTGGGACTTTTGTTCTATATATTTATTTCAGCTGAAAAAAATAAAACTGCACAATCTGATATGTATTATATGCTTATACGCAAAACTCGTTAGTGTCACATGAAAATTATGTTTTTGGCTACGGCCGCATAGAATACCTGGTGACTGTCAAAACGTATTGAGCAAATTAAAGTTTTTTCTGCGTGGTAATTACGGGCTTTGTAACATCCCAACTATTGGTGAATAGTAGAGAAAGTCAAGAAATGATATTATGGCGACAAATTTGTGGCAACATTATGCAGAGTATTTGGGTAAATCAGTTTTGTTTGTTTGGTGTATTGGGTTTCACGTTCTCATAACAGCAAGTATAATATCGTGATATGGCTGGTTCCTGGTGAGACACCGCTAAAACAAACTAATATAAGGCCAAATACAAAAATGTGTTTCTGCGCTAACTCTACCTATCCTAGATTTTGTTTTACCTAACCGTGTAAAAAGAAACTGACCAATCGCTAGCTAGGCTGATACCTGTTCTTTGAAGATCACACCGGAGCGACACTCGACTTCAAAGCCAGCCAATGTTACCGTTACGAGACTGCGATGTTCTTTTGATGTACATCAAAGGATCAAACTGATCTATATGTCTCATCCACAAGGTGGCACAGAGTGAGCCTTCCATTTCACTATGTCATATTCCAGTGATCCCATTTAAGTGTAAAATTGGGCCGGAAGATCAATTTTATTTTCGCAGTTTCAGATTAAAACACTTTTAAAAAGATGAAGGCCTAGTAGCACGTTCATGTTTTCAAATGTTCTCTCCGTTCTTTGAAAACCACTTTTTAGATTATATACATTTAATGCCTCGGAAAGAAATTATCAACCATTTTTAAAATCACGGTCGTAAAAAAAATCGTCCCATAGCCCAGAGACGTATATGCATAGCCTCAATATGACAAATTGCCATTAATGATTTACGACGGCGCAATATCTAATCATTTATTTTGAGAGGGTTCAAAAACAGGATCTATACCGCAAATACATATATATAATACATTGTGAATTTCAATCAACAAAAATGTAGAATTCTCAATAATTAAATGTCAGGAGTCAGCAATAGCCATTCTCATTTCAGGCTGTGCCTTTTTCATATAGTATTTCTTGGTTTTCGGGTCAGTGAGAAACTTTTATTCTCAATTCATTATTGTTTTTACTATTTATTTCTTACTGCAATGAAAAAATACAGTTTTTGTTAATCAGGAATTCACGATATTTCACAGGTAACAATGTAAATAGTTTGTAAATATGTGTTTGTCTAGTCTATTTCCGTGGTCATTCGTAATACGTGTCTTTCCCCGTTCCGGAGAGTAATTTTGATCAGTTCCGGAAGTCGTTTTATTTAGTATATTTTGTATATCATTGCTAAAAAAAGGACGATTATTGTTAACTATTTTTGTATATATAGCATAATTAACAAAATGTTGTCTTTGATTATATCATTTTGGTTAAAATACATTATTGTCAGTATTCTAGTGGTGAGTTTAAATATTCTTGACATTTGTATTTGATTATTTTTGTGGTAAGCGACTAAAGATGGCGGCAAATTACGATTTGGTTTTGCTGCACGGTCCCAAATACTGTGTACGTTTCTTAATTAAGCTTTCATATTCTATATGCGTCTGAGGTGCTGTAAAATACCTTTTCTTGTTATGTTTGAATATATGTATCGGGTTTATTTTTTTAACAATATCAGGGTTTTGTTGACTTTGGTTTGGATATGTGCGTTCGTGGGTAGCCCAAATTTCCTCTTAGGCTCTGGGCCTGACATCAGACTTGGGGCTAGTTCGAGGCCTGCATAAAATAAGTTGATACTCTCATTCTTCTTCTTCTTTTGTTTGCATATCCATGTGGATAAGTGTGCAAGTTGAAACCATGGACTTAGATAATCTAATTCCGTGGTTGAAGCAGACTTGTTTCCTCCTCCTGTAGCAATTGTATGGGCCCAATCTCTCATCTGCTCATATGTATACATATATGTATTTAGATGATCCTTCTTTTGGTTAACAGTTACCTGGTTACTGTGTCCTAGAGTTCCGCCCTAAATCCAGTTCGCCTAAGGTTGTTTCGCTCTAATATAAATATACAATTTTAAGTATCTGTTGGAATTTGTAAAATGATTTAAAAGACTTTTTATTTTATGTATCACAAACAATTGTGTTATCAGAGGATTTTCATGAGGTGTGAACTTGTAGCTACATTAAATGAAATATGTGCAGACCCGGTTGACCACATACAAAATCTAACGAGTCAAATGACAAAAAGACTAAAAGTGACCTAGTAAAGACTAAACTTTCTCTTATACATGTATCTAGTCATGTAAGATAACGCTGGCCATGTAAGATAGCCATGCTTGCTGAGTCTATCTTACATGGGCGTGACGTCACAATGACTCAACAATTACGTGTTAAATTGTCACGAATTTGGAAAACACTGATGCCGCAATGCGGAAAAGGCAATGTGATAAAATTAAAACCTTTTACGATATATTTACCGTACACATTAGAAAGATGAGATTATTTTGGCGCACAAACTGTGTTTGCAAATATGATATACATGTATGCTTAATTTCTCTGACAAAAACGTTTTCGTCAAAAAAGCTCAGGGGAAAATTGATATTTTCAAAATGGTTATCAGTCCAAACGCATTTTCATGGTTTCTGAGCTTATTCTGGTAGGTAGAATGAGAGAAAAATACTCTTTCATGCCCAAGGGTGTAGGATAGGGAAATCTCGGCAGAGCCTCAGGTTTTACCAAATTTGAAAACCCCTCGGGTGGAATTTCCCTACACCCCTGGACATGAAATGGTCTCATAGTCTTTAAATTTGCCATACACAACTAAATAGGACTAAAACATTTCACTCTAAAAATATTTTAAGGGGAGACAACCCAGGACGAATGGGATTTATGGCGAAACAACCTGACACTGTCCTGCACTCAAAAGTGCACCTTATTAAAGGGATGGTACCCAGCATTTCCAAGACCAAACGGGCACTGATAAATATTTTTTTAAGTATGCATATGGGGGTGGGCAAAAAAATTGCAATACAATATGGCTTTGTGTTTTATATACATGTCTATGTACACTGCATAATAAAAAAAAACTGTCTTTAAAATATCATGCATGTATCTGTTTATTTTTTTCAGGGCAGAAACATTCTTTGTCACAAGTTATCATCTCCGAATCATGAAAGGGTTTGCCCACAGGACTATTTCAGAGACAATACAGTTGGACTTCGTGATGTCATTCTTCAAGTCGTTAACTTATTGAAAAAGGTTTGTTGTATATTGTGGAGACACAGATCCAGATTTGAAGATCCGAATTGCTAACATGTAATTTTCACATGTTTTATTTTTTTGCTTAACATTTTCTTCCAATTTTCACTATTGAGAGAGTATTATTTTTATATGCAAAATATTGTAACCAATGTTGATTTTTTGGCAAAGCATAGCATTAAATCATCTGGATAGCTTACACAACATATCAATTTCCTGTAAATATATTGGGGATTTAAATAGACTAATATAAAAATTAATCTTAAATAACAGTACTTACTGTGATGCCATGGATATATACAGGCTTTTAAAAAAAAAAAAAAATGAGCAAATATGGGTCAATTTCTGACACTGCTTACGCCTGGCCCTTTTTACGTTATACAATATCATAGCAGTCATACAAATGCTTTATTCTAATGCATATCTGATGGTTGATTTGAAGCGTCTATAATGAACAATGAGAAAGAAAATCAAAGATGTTATCTGTGCCCCCCTCTTGTACTCTCCCCCTGGCTCTGGCCTGCTGCCCTTGCTGGGTGGCCTGCAGGTCATGCGCCTACAGTGCATATTTACGCCTATTTCAAAAAAAGGTACCAATTTTCTATTCCTGTATTGATCACTGGATGCATAATATGTTACCTATTGTTAATTTCTTTTCTGAAGAACAAGAAAGTTGTGGTGGATGATGAGAATGCTACAGGCGTAACAAGAGACTCGTACGTCAGGATGGTCCATAGAAAGGTTCAGTATGTTGATCGTAATGGATTAGTTTCTAGAAATGTCTTCAAATCCAGATCCCCTCTAAATAAGGATTAGACCTACTAGAATAGTACACTACTAGTCACGTAAATCTTGTGTGTCAGGGAGGGTACTTTAGTACATCTTTAATTCTGAATATACAATGTAAAACTAAAAACTTGTTGACTTTAAATAAATACAAATAACATTTTGTATACAAAACAAATGTAATGCTGTATTTGATCTTAATTTGTAACTCGTTACATAAACTTTTGACAGATATCTGCAAAAACAATTGCCTCAGTGAAAGTGCTACCAGCCAATGGCAGGACACAACTGCTGTGGTCACGCGAGTATCATCTGGCAGAAAATTCATGTATTTCATCACAAGAAATGTCTATACAAGACGGGGAAATAAACAAATGGTTTTCAGAGGAGAGCACAGATCACATCAATTACTGCAGCAGTTCTGGTAAGATCAGTCTGACTTTCCCTGTCTCTTTACATTAAACTGGTTATATAAATGTATGTAGAGTATTTATAGTCACATGTGCTATGTGTCCATTAAGACATAATTGTTTCTAAATTAATAGTAAAATATAACTATGATCACAAAAGGTGTGCCTGTTGGGCCAGGTAATTACATAATCTGATACATGCTATTTAAACTGGGCCAGGATCCATTACCATCCTTGATAAGCCAGTGGTAACGCTCCCTTTTGCTTCCTGCACCCCTGGAATATGTCATAGTATCGAGGATGGCTAATTACATAATCTAGCTTGTACATGCTATTTGAACACAAGCAGTATTGTATATAAATACATCAGAATTAAACCAGTACATGTACTGATTTAATTATAATGTACATATATATTAGCTGTATATATATAGTGTCTATTATAGGCTTAAGTTATGTACATATTAGCTACATCTGGTATGTAGGAAAACAGTTATGTGTTCATTAGCGACATGTGTATGTATATATTGCATATAAGCCAGTTGCGTACTAGAAAGTAACATAATTATTAAATATTAACAAAAGTATGAGTTCATTAGTGTTCATTGATCTAGGCCAGGGATATTCTATAAAGTAATGTAAGTTTGATCTCAGCTCTATCTGTTTGGCCAGTTGCATATACAGCTGTATAGTAACAAATATGTGAATACATATATGCTTTGTCCATAAGATTATATATGTCTAACTTACATGTATGTATATCCTATAGTAACACTCCATTTGTGACAGTTTAATCACAATACTGTATACCACCCAAATATTGACATACAGCAGAGTATACATGACATTTTAGTATACATGACATTTTAGTATACATGTCGTGTCATAACAAGGAAACAAATAAAACCTCTAGATTCATTATATGTCAATAATGTAACACTTGGTTTCATTTGCAGTTTCTGATCCTTGTAATGATGAAGGTATACAGGTATTTGAGAGAACGATACCATTGACTGTCATGTCCAAGTTTAAGGTATGTGTTTGTCATTAACGCTCTGATGTCCAAGTATAAGTAATTAGGTGTATGACATATAATTTAACTATCCTAGTATTTTTTTAGTTTAGGTATTACCATATATATATATATGTCGTTGAATGTCTTTACCAGAAAAGTTAGATACACATGTAGCTAGAAAGTATCAGGTAAGTGTTTGTAATTGGCTGTCACTTCCCAGTAAAAGTTAAGTATGTATCATCAACTGTCTGTGGAATTGAAAGTTATATATATCTATTTCTATCAATGAATTGTGCTGAGATATTAGAGGTAAAAGACATGTACAGTCATATATGTCTATATAATATTTATCTTTAGAATCAATTGGTTAACCTTGCAGTCTACCGCTATATGCCTCTAATGTAGATTACATTTTGAGTTCTGACTGGTTTTAAGATGTATATGTTAATGACTTTAGGTGCTTTGACTCCCTCCCTTTAATCTCTGATGTAGTTTGAGGTACCCACACTCTGCTTGCAATGGGAAGGAATAATAGGTGGCACTACTGATGATCCTCATCTTCTCCCGGAGGTGGTGTCTATCTGTCAATACTGGTCAGATGTAAACCCTGGCGGACAGATATTTGTTATCTGTGACAACACTGTCAGTATATCAGGTTTGTACTCAAACATACTTGGTTTGATTTGTTTGTGTTTAAAATTTACGTCCTATAAACAGCCATGGTCATTTAACGACCTACCAGTTTTTGATGGTGAAGGAAAGATGGAGTTTCCAGAGAAAAAACACAGACCTACAGCCAGCTGGCAACTGCCCCATGTATAAGAAGGTCTCGATCCCCCGACCCAGCGATGGAGGGCTAGTGGAAGCAGAATGGCAGACGCCTTAACCACTTGGCCACCGCGGCCCCTACGTGCAGCTCCCAAAAAACTTAACAAGTACTGTAAACAAGGTCACATTTACTTGCCATTAACTCATTCGCCCCTGCATACTTCAACTGGACTTGCCCAGTCTATGATTTAGTAAGGTTAAAATGTGACTTCAGGGGTGAATGGGTTAAGTACATCTGAAACAATCAGGCCACAAAGTGAAGTAGTTGAGAAGAAAAAATTATACTGTCTGCAGTTTTAGTACTTGTTTGAAAATTGTATGTTTATTTAATAGGTAAAATATGTTTTAGGTACACCTGGACAGCAACAACAGGAAAATACTAAACGGAAACATATAATGCAGAGTCTTGTCAAAGAGGTAAGTTGTCAATATGGTATTTCTGACTTAACACAATGTGTATCAAAATATCAACACTTTTCTTTCTTCTAATAATTATAGGCCTTGTGTTTTTCTGTAATGAAGTAAGTACATGAATATATATCAGTCCAGTAATTTTGATAAAGAACTTTTACCAATGTTCATAAGCTAGAGAATACCTTCATGGCATCTAGACACACCAGATTTATTTGGGAAAAGGTATAAAAAAGATGCTGAGTGTTGGCTTATCACATGATTTATACACTTATATATATACAGTATGTTTGAATTATTCAGTTTTGTGGCTGTCCGGTGTACATGTTTTGTATGGAGAGCCCCGTAGACTCTGGAGGATTTACCAAGCCCCCTAACCCTGGGATGCTGGCCTACCTCCAGCGAAGGCATCACCTCAATATTCATACAAAGGTAATTACCATGTTAAGGTTACCGTTTAAGATATGGTACAAATATTATTGATATAATACTATAATGGTAACATTTTATTAATAATAGTATGATTATAGCAGATCATGTTTTTTTCACTATTTCAAAATCTTGGTGCCAGTTAGCCTGATAGCACATATTAGAGGATTTAATCAGTGTCGAATTGGAATATGGGTGAAGGGCGGCAATACCTTAAAAGAAAATAATGTGGTTTTGAATGTTGGCAAAAGGATTAAGTCGTTGTACAATATACAATTAGAGTTTTTTGAGGTATTAAAGGACATACAACTTATTTCTTTGGCCAATAATGTAAAATACTTGTACAGGGCTCTGATATGACTCTTGAGATTTAACAATTTCAGAAGACAAATAAAATTTTCCCCAAGATTTAAGAGTTAAAACACATGACAAAGAGACCTGTCCTTTAAAACCAAAGAGTCAAAGCTCATTTTGGGAAGTCAAAAACCTTCGCTCTAGGGTTTATTTAAAGCCCTGATGTAGTAGGTTTGCTCCTTTCACCACATCCACGAAAGGGTACAAACATAGTGTCTTGCTAAATTTCAAATACATTGTTTGTCATGTCACAGACTTATTCTGTTTGCATGCATCACAACGGGACATTTTCATTTTAGTAAAGCTTTACTGAGTTTTAAAGAAAACTTTTATAAATCTCATCTGAAAAAGAAACAAACTTAACGTTGTTTTAATCACATTTCCAAGAATCACAGTATGTCATTTTTTCTGATTTTTTCTTTTTCTCTACCATAGTAAAATGTTCAATATTTTCATCTGGATTTTGTGTGTAATTGTGTACATTAACTGTTGGTGAAATAACACTAGATGTCCTTCTCTTCAGGACAGTGTCTATCTTTACCAGTCCCCGATTCACAAGGTGATGGCAGAGACTGCAGGGATGCCTCATCTCAAGGTACAAAAAATAGATGTAGCTATAAATCTGTTGCTTTACATCATTCCTACATTCTCATTCCTACATTCTCCTTAAATATGTCAAATTGTTAGCAAAACCACATGTGTATACATGTTATTTTCTTCAAAGTAAATGCAGAAATAACCTCTAGCTGACCTTCAGTTTATTTTGTTTTGTTTCAGATGTCAAGGGCAGTGCATCAGCCATCTTTAGTAAGTAGATAACTGGAACACATGGGCGTTTTTGGACCTGAGTTGTTCGTTGAAATAAGGTCAGACCCAGTAATCTGATGCTGCTTTCAGGCAAGCCGTGATCAAGGCCTGAATAAACTTTTGCAGGTCCACCAGGATTTATACCCAAACATTTTTTACATTTAAAAATGGACGTATCAGTTGTTCCGCATAAACAAACACGCCCCAGGATGTTGCCAGGATGTTGCTGCTGTGGAAATGGCTGCCGGAATAATTCTGTCTTTATCCTTGTCAACAAAGCATGTAACATTTTCTGCATGCACACTTTTCTTAATATTTTGTTATTAATGAAGCCATTTATGTTTTTGCCACCAAGGAATTGGTAAACTTTATATCACTGTAGCTCTTTGCTCACTTAGCTATATGTAATTTTCATTTACAATGTAACTTGATCAGTATAGAGCACTTGAATAGTTTTAGTCTGTAATCCAGTACATTTGATATATTTGAAAGTTGACAATTAATTATAAGTGATAATGTTTTGTATGTAAAATTCTAATTTTAATTTAACTTGTTTTTGATATAAGTGAAAGTTTGAAAATAAGTAATTTTATTTGAGTTTGATACATGTGAAAGTTTGAAAATAAGTCATTTAATTTGAATCTAATATATGTGAAAGTTGGTAAATATGTCCGAGTTTTAATAAAATATCACATATAATGGTATAAAACATTTGAATTTTAAAACTTCAAAATTTCTAGAATTACAATTTTAAGAGTTTAAAAAAGATTTGTTGTAGTTCAGTGTAAGTCCTAGGCTAACCTAATTTTCACATTGATATATCTTGGGGAGTACATCTTGTTCCAAGCATCATATTGTGTGTGGATCTTAGTGTGTTTTGTCCAACGATATTGTCAGCTCATCATGATCATGAAGTTTAAGTTTTCTTTTTGCTCCGGTTCCTGAATTCATTGCTTTTGATCAAACCAGGGACAGGTGAGACATAACTCCATGGAATTCTTGAATTAAAATGTCCATTTATTGTATGTATGTATTGAATTATAATGTTTATGTTATCTTAAAGGTTGCTTCGAGCCATGTCTTCAGCATTCCGAACATCCCACCATTTCTAAAAGATATGGACCTATTACCTTCAGAGGATGTGGAACAAAAACCACCAGAAATTCCTGGAATCAATGAAATATCTTCATTTCGAGACAATGAAATCAGCATGCATCTGGGCTATGGTCGAAGAGAATTCCTGTTTGCTAAAGATGCAGATACCATAACAAAGTAAGCTGGCTTCATACTTAAAAAAAAGTAATAAGGAAGAAACTTTTATGCAATTGATTTGTAAAAGGACAGATTTTGGAAGAGACAATTTTATATAATTCATAAAGAAAAAGAGTAAAAAAATAAATATTTAAACAAATTTCATTTGAATATTAGTTCCCACTGATTTTCAACATTATTCAATATTGGAAATATAGAACAAAACACTATTACGGTATGTATAATACCAGTATAAAAAAGACCACCATTGAAACAGACTTTAAAATTAAAGAGTAACATTCTAGTTCAAAAAAATCTTGGCATGCTACTGATATGCTATCAATATGAGTATTTAGATCATGCGAAGTAAATTTTATATTCAACTACATGTTAACCTACAATTTACCTGTACTTCCATATCAAATTAAGCCATTTTTGATTCAGAAGAATGAAATTGCATAAAATACTCAAAAATACTCAAACATCATGATGCCAATCAGAGGGAGGTAAATCTACAAATAAAACTATTGTGTCCTATCAGCTCACTTCTCTGCTTTCAGATTCAACAACACATATTCAGAGATGGCCTCTTTGTCCACTGATCCTGTAAGCAAATTCTCCAAGTCAGATTCAACAAAAGAGCAAGAAGGTGAGGTTAATAGTCAGAAAACACCTGCAAAGAAACCCCGCCTGTCTAGGTCATTGTCAACGGACAGAGAACTGCCTCACTGGATGATGTCGGACCAAAAAAATAAACGGACCTCTCAATCCAAGTCCCCCAAACCCTCTACCAGTAGAACAGACAGCACAGAGTCGTCCAATAGCAAGTACAAGTAGGTCATACAATTTATCACATACCTAGTGAATCTTTCCTAATAGTGACATATTGCCAAATTTGTAGATGCAATACAAGATTCCATACAAATTAACACTGAAACTCTATTGCAATAGTAGCCATATACCAGGTGGTAAGTACTTTTTGGATGGGTCTCTGAGTAAAATTCGAAAATAGGAAAAAGAGTTATTTAGCAGGAACAAGAATAGGTAAGTGCCCATTTATGCTTTAGTAATGTGATGTTATTCCATCTTGGAAATGGTTTTAGTTCATTATCGCTCTTTGGTTAAAGATGTTTTGGAATCAAATTAAGGTTTCATTCTCAATAATCATAGTTATGTTTGCATAATTCAAAACATACAGAACAATTACAGGTATATGTTTAGTTATGTCTTTTTATACGATATCATAAATTACAATTGTATATGGTGTGGATGTGTTTTCAGATCAAATATAAACTAAGGTTTATATATATATGACGTTGGATAAAAATCTGTGGTATTTACATACAGATACAATACCTAAATCCCAACACCAGTGGGAAAGATAGCATGCGTTGAACCATTTTTCAATAGTTACAAAGTCCCGAAACCCTACAAAAGTAAATCGGTAGGAATGATCCTCTCATAGGCATGACACAATGTTATTTTTAGGGCTTATTTGAAGTGTAAGATAGCAATCCTTTGATACGCTAGAATATATACTTGTGCCTTCACAACGTAACTTAACAAATGCCCATCTGACTACCTTAACCATAATTTTTTTTGGTGGTTTTTTTGAGACAATTCACGATCAAAGATGTCAACCTTGTTACCTGACAGGCTAAGACATATTTCAATTCTTCTCAAGGTCTACCAAACCAAATCTATTAAAACTGCATGTGAATAATCCTCTTACGATTTTCAGGTTAATTAAAAATCCAAGTAGCTGTAATGTGTTGTCTGTATTCTAAAGTTAAACCTGTTCAGTTTTGACAAAAATTCACAAATCAAACAATGCTTCTCATTGCACTGAACAAGTGTTACCATAATTATTTAAGCTAGTAAATAAAATGAGATAACCCTAGTGGTCTTAATTTAGCAAAATCATTTTCAACTTCATGCCTAATCCAATTGTTCTAGAATCTTTACATACTGCGTACAACAGGTAAGCAGTACCAGATCTGTTGACATGTTTTACAGTAGTTTATATTTTAGTGAAAACAAAATCAACATTAAAATTTGTCATGGGTTTTGTCACCAATTTTTTTAATAAATTGAATAATAAATGTAAATCTTTCATAGTCTTTACTCAAATTATAGGAAGACGATATATGTGATGACTGAGACAGAGCTAGCAGAGGTGGCTGAGGACATACTAAAACAGGTATATGTACTATATCAATTTGTTATCTACAATGTATGTGATTACTGAATTATCTCCCTTTTAATTTTTAATTGGTCTAATTCTCAATTTCTAGTACAAAAATTAAATCATTTAAATATACAGCACTAGGTATTGATTTCCTTATGAGCTAAAGAACATATAATGTGTTGTCAAAATAACCCTTCAGTGTTATGTCATTATTGGAATGTCTTATAATTTCACCTTTTATGCATCAATGATTTATTGGCCCAGATGACCTCACCATCGATTGACTGCTAAGGATGCAACAATAACTATAACAATTCTCCTTTTATGTAACAGGCAGGCAGAGAAGATCTTATTCACAGCATAAAATTACAAAAACTCAGAGAGGATACTATAAAGAAACATTCTGATTCAACCACTGAAAAGCGGACAAAAGGAAAATGTGCAAAAGTTATACAGAGCTGTCTTAGTTCTGTTGATATTGATATGGAAGAGGAGGAGGAATCAGAGACTTCTTTAGATGAACCAGCATCAAGGTGTGATATTGCACCAGTTGATACCCCGGTGAATATGGAAGTGACCGAACCCACCTCCGACATTGTCCCAGAAGATGTATTATGTGGAGACAGCAAACGGACATCAACATCAAACACCTCTGTCCTTGATGGCCTACTCATAAGTGAAGAAGTCAGAAAAAGAAGTCCAAAGAAATTGTTGAGGTAGTTATTATCATAGTAATGCATTCATAATGTAATGAAAATGACTTTTTTATTATTATTTTTTATTGGATTTTCCTTTGAATTTCGAAGATACTTTTTGTGATAATTACCTACTAGAACCAATACAAAACGCATCTGTGATGGTTCAAAAAATATGCAGAAAAACTGAAAAATAATTCCCAAGAAATTATTGATTGATACATACATATACAAATTGTAGTTGATAGCTACATTTTCAAATCCCTGATAATTTGAGAAGTAGGAGGGAGTGAAGCTATGATAAGGCCCTATTTTGTCACAACATTTACTTTCCTGATCTAGATTTTAAAATCATATTGAAGAGAACAGCATCAAGATTGCATGCTGAATATCCTTTTTCATTATTTTTCAGGAGAAGTGAAGACACATTTACTAAAGATACCACACATACTGGACATGTTCATGTTTGTGAGAGTAGTGATTCGCAAAGCACAGACTTGTGTCAAAAGAAACAAAATAAACATTCAGCCAAACGACACGATGCATCTTCAAACAAAAACAAATCTTTTAAGGAAAGTACACATGGTCATTATACTGAAATCTCTCAAAGAAAACTGCCTGATTTATCAATACTGGATGAAATTTTTTCATAAAGTCATTTCATGCATATGCTATTGCATTGTTTTATAAAGGTGTTTTTTTCCCATATTTTCAATGATAAAAAATATCTGTGATAGCAGTTGACCTAGCTACTTATGACTGAGAACTTCAGTACTCATTTTGAAAGTATACTGACATTGCGACTTTCACCCTCTTCAATGGTTTTTTGGTTCACCTGGTCCGAAAGGACAACATGTGGTGAGCTTATGCCGTACCGTGGTGTACGTCGGCAACTTTTCCTTTAAAACACTTGAACAGCTTTATGCATTTTGACTAAATTTGGCTTTGAGCATCCTTGTGCAAAGGGGACTCAATTTGTATAAACAGAGGGTGTGACCCCTCTGGGTACAGAGGGTTGGGGCCCAATATGGGAATTTGAGGTTTAAATCTTTAAAATCCTCATCATCGGTATTGTTGGAGAGATTTTATCCAAATTTGGCCTTAAGCATCCTTTGACAATGGGGACTAAATTTTGTATAAACGGAGGGCGTGACCCCTCTGGGTGCAGAGGGGCAGGGCCCAGTAGGAGAATTTAAGGATTAAAACTTAAGATCCTTCTTCTGAACCATTGGAGGGATTTTATCAAATTTGGCATGGAGCATCCTTTGGCAAAGGAGAATCAATATTTTCACCAATACATAGAGGATATCTTATAGTTTCCTGTTGAATACAATTAACCATATATATTTCACAAGTATGGCAGAATACTGATGTTTTTCACAAATGTGAAGCACGAGGAAATATCAATGTATTCTGTTGTACAAGTGAAAAATATTTGGTATTCAATGGGAAGCCCATGAAATTTTCTATTCATTTAATTTTCAAGTAACACAACTTAATTATATTGCTGCATCAGATAATGCTGGCATTACAAAGTAGCACAGTATTGAACGGCAGTTTCTAATGATTTCATGCTTAACAGCAAGGCATAGCGCCATTTTGAATGGGTTGCTCAACACAATTCTGCCATTTTTTGCTATTGTCTGGTAAGCTTTCAAAGCAAAAAAGGTACCTATTGTGTAGTTGTGTAAAGTTCAATTTCAAGTTCAATTTGGTTATTTAAGTGTCACATATCACAATTACATTTATGTTCATTAATACATATAAAATACTTGTACAAAATATAAATCAATTCCATTGGTACATATAAAATACTTGCAGTTGGCTGTTTCCTAGAACTTAAAATAGTTTGTTTAACATAAAAAAAACACATGTAATAGGGATCAATATCGACATTAGATTATTGTGAGACTACCCTTCTTCTTATTATTAACATGTAGGTTGCAGTGACTCAAAGTGCGCTACCTTAGGGTTGGGGAGAGCCCTACCAGCGAAGACAGGTCGCTCTGCGCCACTGCAATCATACGATGTAACTTTATTTTTATTTTATTTTTTATCGGTTTAAAAAAAAGGGAATAACAGGTTAAAAGTAATTGAGAAATCGATTGGCTCCAAGCGTTTGGGGAGAGCTCTACCGGCGAGGGCTTCTCGAGGTCCCTTCTTAAGGTTACATTTAATAGTTTAAAACACGGTTAAAAAGGAAAAATATCAATGTGTATATGGCAAAGGTGTACCAAAACAACCACTACTGCCGTCACTTCATCTTCACTTGGAACTGAAAATCTACACAGTGAATTTGTATAGAAGGTACCATCTGATTGGAAAATACTAAAAGCAATATCATGTGAAGATTCAACATTTTGTATGTTAATATAAGTATTTTAGCAAATGAATGATTTCTGATATTTCATTGGTTATGTGAAATGAATGTGTATTGAATTAGTAAAACCATAGAAACTGAATAATAATATATGGTTACCTAATTCAGTAGTGTCCAGAACTTGTTTTTTAGCCATATCATTATTCATTTGAAACATTAGCGCGAATGAAGAGATATATACAAACACCTTTAAAAGAGTATTTAAACGTTTGAGTACTGCAGAAATTAAGTAGATGTCAGATCCCTATATTGACATCACTAACTGATAACAAATATTGATGGAAGTCTATGTTGTAATCACACTTCTGTGTTCATTCTCAAATGAAGCCCGTTCTATGTTAAGTTTAATCGCCCTAATGTTGGGTGTTACCTGTTGGTTTAATATAGGTAATCCGTCATACAGGTGATGCTCCAATATCAGCAGCAAAGTAATGTAAATGTAAAAGAATAATAACACAGTATCATGAATAAAGGTTTGAGGAATTTGTAAGAGTACTTGCAGGGCCTTCCTCAGTATCATGAATAAAGGTTTGAGGAATTTGTAAGAGTACTTGCAGGGCCTTCCTCAGTATCATGAATAAAGGTTTGAGGAATTTGTAAGAGTACTTCCAGGGCCTTCCTCACTGTATTCGTGAATGAACGTCCACCCCAAATAAAAATTAAGCTTAATAAGGTGTATGTAATTCAAAACGGTCAATATTATTCAAACACAAAAATAAGAAACTATTATGACACCACACATTTCTAAATATTTATTTCAAAACTAATTATATATTCCAGAATATAACTTGAAATGATGGATGCCATCAGATTGTTTCATCGCTTTGGATATTGACAGTATTACATTCTATGAATTATCCAATTAATGGTAATTAAGAGTAATATCATATACAACATTCACATAACACCATATATGATTTCTGAAATTACTCTAAGGTGCTTAACATAACGAATTGTATATGTAACGTGTTTAACAACCAATTAAACAGTTGAAAAGTACATAAAAATATATAAATTAACATATACATGGGGTTATTTGTATTTATCATTTATTCTGTAGTATATCTACTCAGGACATTAAATCAAAAATCCCAATCATGACCCAGAGGTAGCCGAGGGGTTATTACACTTTTGAACAAAGTCAATTAAAAATAAACACTTTCATCTGTTTTGGGCTTAAATTTTACGCAAAGATCTCCCTCCAGTTTAAAATGTTTGAATTCCTTATAATCATCACATCAATTAGTTGTATAGGGATGATGATTTTTGGCAGGGAGGGGATCAAAAATGGTTGTTGAACGGAAGTCAAAACGGCAAGATAAAGAGAAAAAAACCTCTTATGTATTCATAATGCAGAATCACATTTTGTCATGAAATTACGTTCTTATCCGTCACTGACTCGTTCCTACAAACTGGATTATTTTAGTTGATTCGTCATTATTTAAGGTAACCCGCACCTTTGTAAATGCAAAAATAAATTAAAAATAAATAAATACTCATAAACGTATTTATAACGAAGAGAAAAATAATCATATAGTTAAGATTTGATAATAGCACCAATGTTTGACCAAATCCCTTTTGCCAGCAGGTAGCCGAATACTTTATGTTGGTTGAACATTAAACTAACGGAAATATTAAATCTTTACATTCTCACTGTTCTCGTTTCACCAAAATAAATTGAGATTTTCTTAAAGATAGCACCAAAAATGGGTTTTGCAGTATGAAGTCCTCTACATTCAACGATGTAGACTTGTATTTCAAATTTCATTTAGTGTTGTATAGGGATATATAGTACATGTATATACGTATTTCCTGTAGATATGTTGTACATGTTATAGGTTAGTGAATCAAACGTTTAACTATGGTAGAGCAGTTATTGTAAAATAAAAAAAATAAAAATCGCAGTGTAATAACATACATTTAAGGTGTTCATCAGATAATAAAACTTGATGAATCAGAATATTTGATTGATGTCAAATGAATACGGTTTAATATACACGTTATGATATAACTAGTTTACTTTAGTTTTCTTGGAAAGTATTGATATACAGAAGACCGTTTAGTCTTAATTCTAATTAAGCTACATATGTACTTGCAATAAATACTCACTGTATTTTATATAAAAAGTGAGAAAATAAAATTATTTCCACCTATTGCTATCATTAATAAACGTCAAAAATACATTTATCTAAAATACATTGCACATATTACAAGATTTTGGCCTGCAAAACCTGTTGAGATGTAACTAAGTAAAGATGGTTTGGAAGAGGCACTGAAGAAATCCATAACCACACGCCAGAAGGATGAGTTGTAGAGAGTTCTGATGCGACATTTGGGCTCCGTTGGTCTCACAATTTGGATAACAAGTCTGCGTTGGACCTTTAACATGAATATAGAGCGTAAATGTATTGTATAAATCATGCATATGCTTATATTAAAGTTAAGAAAACGAGTGATACAATTTTTTCTTAGCGGATTGGTTTTGTGTTACTGCTTTTAAAAAAAACAACGACATGTTATATTTCTAGTAGACGGCGGTATGAAGCATATTAATAATCTCTTTGAAGAAATTATATAATATCGACAGTAGTGGAATCGACCCGATTATCTTGCCTCAAAATTACCTCGCCAGTGCCTTAGTTACAACTCTTAATTATATGACTACAATGTCAACATGCAAAACCGCCCATAATCTGCGAATGCGCCCATGTTATAGAATTTTGTTTTGTTTTTTGTTTGATTTATAACTAGTATAATATAGCACCCACTGTGAAGTCAGAATATGACAATATATATCAAGTCATGACGTCGTTACACAGAAAGGAAAACAATCATCCTAGAGTCGTTGAAGAATTTTCAATGTTCCAATGTTCTTCTAGATATATGATAAAAAAGAATCATATTTTATATTAGATTTATGAAATCCAATTCTTTCCTACATAAATATTCTTTTCTTTTTTAAATTCATAATATTAAAACGCCACATTGAAGAGCCTATCATATATATACTTGACCGGAATAATAATAAGTTAAACAAACAAATAAGAACGAACTCATAGGTTGTTTTCTCCACAACTAGGTTCACCCCTGGAAATAATCGACTTTCTGTTTTCCACTGAATGACTCTACAGGGGAACCATGCAGAATCGTTACAGTCGGAATCCTCATGTTTTCTGTTTTAGCATTACTTTTAGTTTATTTGCAGCTGTATCTCTCTGACATACCATCCGTTTCATTTCTTTCATTTCAACAGATTGTATTGACTTTATATATGTCAATTGGATTGGACATCAGGCTAGGCCTATTTAAGTACTTTCCAAACTTATTTACAAACATTACATATATTCTGTCATAACAATCCAATTAAACAGTGCAGAGGAGATAACTCCGTTTCCCGGTGTTCTTGGCTTACTTTATATATATAATTACTTATTCTACTTTGTCCAATGGGGGACATAGGGTGACCACAGTGTTCTACCATATGGTAAAGCTTGACATGCAAATGAACAATGAACAATACATGGTGGTAATACGCATGTAATCTCACAGACCTGAGAGTTAACCGCAGGTCTTACTTGCTTTGTACATTAACAATAATGACCCAACACATCAATGAGCTGATTGTTTAAATAAGCAGGTACCTGTAGGTCTTGGAGTAGAAACCGTGGGTCTGGTAGTTGTGCTGCAGTATGGGGGTGGTGGCTGTCGTTCACAACAATAGGATGGCTTGTTTGCATTGGACGGGTGGCAAGCAGGATCGGTGTTGTTTCCTCCAGTTGGTGGCATGCTCCTCGAACAGTTGCAGAGGAAATGATCGTAAATGTTGTTCCACACTGACAAAAAAACATAAAGTAAATAAATAACTTAAAGTACATGTACATGTATAACGGGAGTTATTTGATATAACTCCTTCTGCAGACATTGTTGAATAATATGCATTGGAGTTGGATCTAAATGCGAGATGTCAAATAGCGTAACGTGGCATGATGTCTTGCCTTAATTCACGTTTTTGTGATGAGAAAATATATACAAGCGAGGATGATTTTTAATTATCCCTGAGAAATAGCGATTACAGTATCAGCTTCTGCTGGACATGGTAGTTTATACTCTTGAAAATCAAATCATATATAAGAAATTGTTAGTATTATTTGTTTGTCTTGTATGCTCTGTCTCATTGGCAAAAATGCCATTGTTTCTTTTTCATAAGGCAATTGACATAATCAGATTGCTTATTTATAAATATCGGCGGCATGACATGATAAAAGTGTACTCTTGTACGGTCCACCCTGAAGATGTCATTGGAGTATTGTTATTATGCCAATACAAATTTACATTAAACATAACTGCATGTATGATGAAGAAAAAAGAAAATGTTTTAAACATTAAGATAACATGTTACTTCAAATATTTTACTAATGAAATTCTCAAAAACTGACACTACATTTTGTATGTTGTATGGCTGTTGCCAGCACATCAAACTAAGCGTTTGCACTTTCCTGCAAACGGCGTTGTCTTTTCTGCGTCACCCCGATATGAAACTATACGTTTAAAAATGTGAATGTAAAAAATGGTTACGCGATTGATGTAATATGACATGAAATTCAATGTTGATTTTCCCTTAATAAATTATCTCTATTCGGAGATCTATATCATATATCATTCACCTGAGGTGTCAGAAGAGCATATGGCTTGTGTGGTAGTCCGGTCATACATTACGCTTCCCCGGAAACAGCCAAGGATATACGGGAAGGTGAAGGTCATATGGTACCGATATCTTCCGTCAGACCCGATCCTGCCGTGACATTTATCCAGGTCGTGCGACGTGAGATCCTTGACGACGCCATTCTCCGTTATTTTTGGCCCGTAAATAGCATATCCGTCCAAGGCAACCCCCATGAACTCGTCTATGCGGCCGTCATATAAACAATTAAAGGGCAGCTTGTGGTAGTGGTAGACCCCTCGTTGATCTGCATGTCCATCACAGCTATCTAACCTCTCTTGACCAGAACCTTCCACGGCATTTTCACCAGCTGAATCTAAAGGGTTGAAAAGAGCCACACCAGTCCTGGCAATGCCTATCATACCCAAGGCGAGACAACCCGGGATAGCCTCTGTGGTTGGATTTTTCGGGATCGGGATATTGTAGCTCTGGTCGGTTGGCTTATTCGGGTTGACCATGCCCCAAACATGATCAGGTTCTCCAGAGGCAAGTACCATGTATCTGGATAATAAACAGTTGTGAAAATATGCTGTTAGACTGTTAATTTAACCTTAAATTTGTTTTATATTATGTCATTTCTATGAGGGTGAGGGTGCATGTTTTCTCCCTCCTCTGCTTATGAAACATACATGTGGAACATCAATGTGGGATAGGTGTACGTTTAACATGTGACATGTTCTATTATGACGTCACACGCAAATGCCTGCGATAAATTATGACGTTACAACTGAAAATGCGTCAAAACATCGTTTGACTGATTGTGGCAGTCTTGTGACACTTCCTCAAGACAATGACAGTTGTTGAACCAGCTTGCCCTGAAGGTCTTGCAGGAGTTTTTAAAAGACCGTACTTTTTCTGCTCTTTCCGAATATGGCCTTACTTTCTATATGCGTTATCTAGAAAGTTTACTGTACTAATTGTTGCAATCCCTTTGTCTTCTTGCTGTTTTATCAAAATTACCCACCGCCTCGGGAAACAGTTCATGTGTTTGGTCCAAACATCCTTAAAAAGCAATCATTTTTTATTGGACTGCAAAGTAATTCATCAAGACATTCAGAGCGATTGGGCTGCGCTTTGCAGATTTGTAATGGTCTTCCAACAAATCGATCTGGTACATGCAGATTGTGGTAAATTTGATGTCTTTGATTGGACATAGCTGAATATATTCAGAACTGGTTGTACATATTTAGTTTGCATTTTTCTTGAGAATCGTTGGTGCTGCATTCGTGTAATTCCTTACCGATCCGCGTGTTCGTTGATTGATACTGTAGCATTGTATGCACCAGTCGTTTGGAAATAACCCAGTTCTTGTGTGGTCAAACCTGTTCAGACAAAGAAATTCAAATTAGTCTTTACGACACACATAGAAGTATTTGAAATAATAAATAGCCCAAATCCTCTTAAACACGTAGTCCTGTCATGTGTAATTGAGGGATCATAAAACCTGTTATATGTATTGGCAGTGATGAAAGCAGTAAACGGTATTTCTTTTGTGTCCTTTGGATGAATGACATCGATAACAAAATGATATATGCTATACTAATGTCGGTTATACCATTGTTCTACAACTAAACTACGCATGCTTTTGGCAATTATGCCACCGTTACCTTTTGTTTACCATTCGACGCTGAGTAGTACGTGTTCATAAGCTGTCAATTCTAAGCATACTATGTATTTTATTATGAGTCCACGTCAAGTATAGTTTGCTATGTTCATTGATAACTATAACGCAATATAGCTGTAGATTAATACTTAAACTATTGTGAATGTACCTGCAGTGGTAGTCGTGGGTCTGACAGTGGTAGTCGTTGTTCTGGATGTGGTAGTTGCTGGTCTTGCGGTGGTAGTCACTGGTCTGGGAGTGGTGTCAGTTTGGGTGCAATATGGGGGTGGTGGTTGTCGTTCACAACAATAGGAGGGTTTATTTGCGTTGGACGGGTGACAAGCAGGATCGGTGTTGTTTCCTCCAGTTGTTGGTCTATCCACCGAACAGTTGCAGAGGTAGTGTTTGAATAAACCATTCCACACTGAAACAAAAAGGGATTTCTGAGAGAGCTATATTAAAAGTCATTGTCACGTTTAAATATTGTGTAATACATGTGACGGGTATATCTCTACCATGAACTCGATTTACACCTGGTATATGAAATAGCATAACTTGGCATGACGTCAAACGTACCGACAGTGGTAGTCGTGGTTCTGACAGTGGTAGTAGCGGGTCTGGCAGCTGTAGTTTACTGTCATTGTTTAATCCTGCCTTCGCCTTACCTAGCCGAGTTGCTTATTGTTTTCAAATATTAGCTATATCCTATTATATTTCTATTTTTGTTTTTTGTTTGTGATGTTAGTGTTCTATGCCTTTTCTGTAATAAAGGAGCGGATTGCTCTGAAAATTTGACAACCTCATATAGTCCACACTGTTTGAAATACTTTCCTGCCAAACATTCAAATCTTCAGTATTCGTCGTATCCTACAAAAAACGTCTGCAAGGATCCATTGTTATCTTGTAAGGTACCGTTGATATTACTCCTTTGACGCATATACAAGGGCAAAGAAGTAATATCGACAATGTAGACCAAGGAATTTGTCATATTTTTGGAATAATCCGTCCCCTTTTTGATACAGAAACATGAATACTTACATATCACAACATATAACAAGGATAAGTAGTCACTATGAAACAATACGCCAACATGAAATACAAACAAAACAGTAATCAATTGAAATATGCTGATGTAATTGCATATCCCCGCGGTAAGCTGAATTGTAACCGAAAGCTAATTATTGACGAAAATTCATCTTGAATTCGTTAGGTCAAGTGAATTAACAGAAATAATCTAAGTAAATGTAGTGAAAATAATTACGATAAAATGGCGGACTTTAGTCACCCCAATCGACCAGGTAGTCAAACAGAGGTCAAATGTATAGCAAATTTGGGATAATATGACATTTACTGGATAGTATGATGGTATTATATCTTTATGAAAGATTAACTTAAAAAGGTAACTGGAAGCCAAAACCGTAGAACATTGAAATAGTCTGCAAGACTGCAACGCGTAGTGTTCAAGACAAAAACAAGTAATCAACGATTATAATTCATATTCATTCACTTAAACTAGTAGTTGATGCGTGTATTAAAAAAAGTTTCTTCTGGAGGTTATATTCACCTGAGGTGTCAGAAGAGCATATGGCTTGTGTGGTAGTCCGGCCATACATTACGCTTCCCCGGAAACAGCCAAGGATGTACGGGAAGGTGAAGGTCATATGGTACCGATATCTTCCGTCAGACCCGATCCTGCCGTGACATTTATCCAAGTCGTGCGACGTGAGATTCTTGACGACGCCATTCTCCGTTATTTTTGGCCCGTAAATAGCATATCCGTCCAAGGCAACCCCCATGAACTCGTCTATACGGCCGTCATATAAACAATTAAAGGGCAGCTTGTGGTAGTGGTAGACCCCTCGTTGATCTGCATGTCCATCACAGCTATCTAACCTCTCTTGACCTGAACCTTCGACGGCATTTTCACCAGCTGAATCTAAAGGGTTAAAAAGAGCCACACCAGTCCTGGCAATGCCTATCATACCCAAGGCGAGACAACCCGGGATAGCCTCTGTGGTTGGATTTTTCGGGATGGGGATATTGTAGCTCTGGTCGGTTGGCTTATTCGGGTTGACCATGCCCCAAACATGATCAGGTTCTCCAGAGGCAAGTATCATGTATCTGGATAATAAATTCATGCATCAACTGTTTTGATATGATATGATATTTTCTGTGCATGGATATGAACAATTAAAAAAAATCTGCAACAAGTTTGCACTGTTTGATAATACGATGAGGAAAATTACATTTTACTTTCATCGATTATATAGTAAAGTTAGAAGGAAAATTTTAGTCTTTCGACCAACTCGAACTGAGCTGGCTGGGCTTGGTTGGGCTATGTATGTATGCATTTATGTATGTACGGCTAATTTTGTCAGCAGTAGTCGTAAATAAATAGCAAACATTCCTGTAAATCGCTAGTGCTGTGCACCTCTCTTGGCAATGCCACACTCTGTTTTCTATATTGACAGTTCGCCCTGGTGAGAAAGACCATGAGGTTTTCCACCTGGCCGGGACAAACCAAAGTCCTTAAAAATTAAAATTGTTATTCCCTGCTTAGCGTTCAGCATTTAGGGGAATGGCAACCACTGGTTTACCCATTGTCAGTATTATGAGACCGGGTGGAATACTATACATGGTGCCTTCGTTATGATATTTCAGTGAAGTAGCACTCTAAAAGTCGGCATCAGATCCGCGATATAACATGTGGGCAAATGCATTAAACTTACCCTTCCTCCTGCACACATACACGTTCTCCCATACGTTACACACACGAAGACTCGTCTTTAGATGATCTTATTTGTTTACGGGACGATATTGACCCTATAAAATCAAACCGTAGCATTTCTTACCGGTCTGTATTTTCTGTAACTGATACTGTAGCATTGTAAGCACCACTTGTTCGAAAGTAACCCAGTTCCTGTGTGATCAAGCCTGTAACGACACATATATAGATTTAAAGTGATTTCACAATAAGCGTTCTCTCTTCATACTTCGAACTGTACCAAGATTACGATGCAAGAAGTTATGATGCCATAAAATTAATTTTCTTGTAAATTCTTGAATATTCGTACATTTTATATGTAACGAAAAAGATAAATGTTTGTTTGTTGACATCAGCGTTTAAATAGAAACAAAATATTACTTTTTTACATTACATTTTTTTCGTATTTTAATGTGTTTCGTAATACGTTTTGATCATAATAAATACATTTAAAACTGACAAAAGTTTCGAGATGACAATAATTTAGTTTTAGGTTTTAAAAAACACGTTAATTATAATTGAAAGTAACAAAAATGTACAAAGGTATAAATCATGTCACATGCATATATGTATGACCATTACTAACCATTTGTATTTACACCTTTAAGAGGAATTTGCTACACGTTATGCGTTTTATAGCATGATAATAAAATAACATTTAGAAAAAACAACAGTAAAATTGTGCAATTCTTTTATTTTCAAAAGTTTTAAAGTAAGATATCTTTTTATGATTATGAGCCAGGAAAGAATAATCGAAAAAATGCACGTGTAATGCAAAGATGAAATATGGTCGATAAACTAGCACAAGATATTTGGATATTTTGACTGATATAAACGTGTTTAATGAGCTTCATACATTTTATAAAATATATTGATTCAATATCCTTTCTATCAATTTACTATTTACTTATGCCTGTATATTGTAAACTATACATATCAGGCATACCCTCGTATTCTATTTGTGTCTAACATAATATAGATTCAACTGATGCCATTCCTACGATAAGAAGTACAATTACCTACATTTTGTGTGTCACAAATGATTCCTTCCTTATAAAACTTACCATCAGCGTTAATGCAAAGAGCCATCGTTGATAGTACGTGCACCAGTAATGTTGCGTGAACAAACATTTTTTTGTCTTTCCCTGGAAATGAATTTGAAATAGTTACGTATCAATAAAGAAAACAGAGATATATGTATTGTCACTTTCGAGGTTTGTTGTCAGTGAGACATTCGAAATGTTTGCAACAACCTGTAATATGGAGTACTATCTGAATCTAGGGGGAGGCGGGTCGTTATACATCATGCGTTTACACGTTAGGTTTAAACTTAAATATATTGGGATAGAAATCAGAATTCACTGTACATATTATTTGTATGATATTTTGATTGGGCTCATTTAATTTTGTGTGACCAAATTTGTTTAATCACCAGCGTTAGTAGAAAAAACGAATATCTGGTAGGGCTACCTGTAATTCCTCCGTTGACGCGGTTGGTTTCGGGAGGAAAAAGAACGTTTGCTCTTTTTGTGGCGTCATGATAAAAGCTCTATAGGAGAGCGAGTTGTCAACTACGTGCAGGATGCTAAATCATTTAAAACAAAATACTTAATACAAGTATTCGTGCTTTAACGATAAATCGACACCGTCACGTGAAATACTTACGACTGACGTTCACACTTTAGATGTTATGCTACATAAACAGTTAACAAGTGGATACTTCGATTATAGTCAGCCTCGTCAAATTCATGTTTTACAACATTATCCCCCACCAGAAAAATGTCGGCATTGTTCAATACTTCACAGCCATTTCAAAATGCAAACATTGTCAAATAGGAATGGGTATAGATAATCATTTCTACGACACACTTACCACAGCTGGCAGTGTTGATAAACAATGCAATCACGTCCGTAGCACCATCACAGGTATGAGCAAGGATAATATATTAGTAGACGTCATTGAACATTTTCAAAATGCATTAAATAGAATAATAGTATTCGTCTACTTACCCCTAGAATTGTATTTTAGGCAGCTCAGGTTCGACTGTAATGCTCGTAAATGGGTTGTCGTCTGCTTAAATGAGTTAGTAAGCAGCTCAGGTCGTTGTGAGAAGTCAAAATCTAGGCGCAGAATTAAAACATTTGTGTACTCGGGTGGAACAGAATGACGGTTTTCCATTGGTGTAAACGGTGAACATTGTGTATATACACAATAGTAATATACGTACGGTATCACGACATCGTGACAGTGACATAGAAAGGGTCCACAGTGGATCACAAGTTTGAGAAGGATGAAAATACCTTTGTCTTGAAATATAAGAAGGAGACATGTTTTAAGGATTTGGTTCTATACATAGTTTAATGTCGATTAATGACTATGTTTTATGTGTCATATAAATTTACAATTGAATGAGACATTGTATATGTTTGTTTCAATATCTACTCCTGGGGCGTGAAACGGTTTAATACAATTCACAAAATATATCATAGCACCAACTTATGAAGTCACATTAAAATTAATGTTTCTACTATAAAACGAGTTGGGCGCGGGACATATGTTCTACACACATAAGCGTACGTGTTATACACCTTCTACTAAACCCTTCTGTCAACCCATGTTAGAAGGAGCAACATTGAAAATGCAAATTTTATGAACGGTCGATGAATTATCCAATATATTTATAATCCATAGTCAGGGTTCTTTCTTTTCGATGCCCCGTACGCAAGTATCCGTATCACTTTGTTATTCGTACTTAAAAGGATCGTCAATAAAATATTTGGATACTTACTAAATCACAAGACTGACCCAGTCCAGCAGTGATCTGTCGGCTAATTACTTCTGTAGGTACATGTGTACTGAGCAAGCTTTGTAAATTAGACAAAAGGCTTGTATTATGTGACATATATTATGGATAATTTGTTAATGGATGAATGCAAAATATTAGCAACACAAATTTTAACACATTTATAAGTTTGTGGTTGTACACAAATTTCATTTATATATAGCTTACTCGAAATATATATCGCATTGGAAACATAGAGAATGTTTACAAATGTGAAACATGTACCATGAATGGAAAAATTATATAAATTTTGAATTCTCTTTTTGTTGGTAAAATTCTCATTAATATTCATTAACAAATATTTTAAATCCAATCATTTGTAAAATGGTACGTATTTTATAACAGGTTGTTAGTTTATGTTTGAATAGTACCCAGTTAACGTGAACTACAGCACTCTTGTTTGAACAAACCGCCCACGGTCCAACACACAAAGAGGTATTAATATAGTAAAGCTGTTGATCCCGGTTTTTTACCCAGGACAATATTTCTTTTGGCGACCGACCGTCTTAGTTTGTTATTGTGGAAATCTAGTGACCTATCTTCATTATTTGTTCAGAAAAAAAAAACGTATGCTTAAAATACACATTGTAAGCTGATTTCATTTACTCGTGAATTTAACCGTATCCCGTGACGTGGCCATAAAAGGAGATCTACACTGCCTCTCATGGCCACAGGATCAACGAAATATTTAAGACCTAGGCGCTTATTTCAGATATCAAAAGCATATATAACTTTATATAATGTTTTAAAAAAGCACGCACATTTGTACATGTACACGGAAACGCATGTGAAACCTGTCTGACTGAACTATCAGCCAGTATTCAAAGGTAGAGTCAGCCCCCAAGCCCAGATCATAATGATATACTGTATAACATGAAATGTTCGTTGTGTATAAACATTTGTGGTTTTCGTGGTTGCTGTTGAACCACGAACATAAATACAACGAATTTGAATGATATTTTCCTTTCAGAATATTTATTGTTCAGATCTTAGATACAAAGGAGATGGGCCTATGAGCACCCTCTCCTTACAGTTATAAACAGTTTACACACGTCATATTAAATTGAAGTAATGGTAAAACATATATATTATATATATTGATAATTGTATGTCATTATTTATTTTTTTGAAAATCATTTTTACAGAAACTAGATTAAACAAAAAATAGGCAAATGATGCTGGTGGACAGCACATAGTACAATTATATGCTGGTTTCATTCAACACAGCATAGTCATTTGGAAATAGATAAACAAGTAAGTGTAATCTAGTAAAAGCGTCTAGTACCTTTAATGAATCTCTGAAACATCTCCAGAATACTGATATTCATATTGATATCGAGTCTTCGACATAAATGTGCTTTGGAAGCAGTTGCAAGATTAGACGGCTCATACGCTGTATGCAATAATAATTCTGACGACGACTGGATTTTTTTTTTTTTGGGGGGGGGGGGGTGTTAGGGAGGGAATTACCAAGGTCTATTATTTTTTATTATCATTTCCAAGATTTTTCAATCATACTTTTTTCATTATTTCTTGATTCCAAAAAAGGTTAAAAATCTCCCGTATAGGTTGTTCTTGGTTTATTTGTTTTCTGTTATAACGTAGATATCCATCATAAAACCCCAAAAAATAAACAAAAGCAAAAGAAAGTCTGATGCAATTAGTTTACTTTTAATCTTTATATTGACGACTGAATTAAGTTGCAAACTATTTGTGTGTGTTATATTACAGACTTTATAAACTTTTAACTAACGTTTGCAAAAGTGTACCGTTTGCGATACCTTGCTTTTATTTGCAACAGGTATTAGTTTAATAAGTCACCCAAACGCTGTTGTGGACTTACTAATCTTTCTTCTTATTTTTCGTCTGTCAGTTTCCTGACTTTTTCTCTAAAACTTTTAATTTTTTAGTCGCATAATTATGAAACTTCACAAGAGCATTGGTAGGAAGGTGAATACATTTGCGTACTGCAGTTTGTTTTAGGATTAGTCAGACATGACCGTAGTGGCCTATGATTGATTCACATATTTATAGGTAAACGCCAAGGTGATGGCAACGCTGCTTCCACATGTCTGCATTTGCCCCATTTAAGTATTTTGCAATTACAGCCTGGGAAACTTATAAAATGGTTCCACTTATAACTTGATTTGTTACTATTCTTTCTCCTGTTTCATTTGTTTTCTTTTCTTAGAAGGTATATGATGTTTTCTTAGATATGCATTTGTGGGTATGTGTAGACGTGCGTAACGGATTTAATTTTCCGATCCATCATCCAACATGGCCGCAGTGGCAAATGTTTGATTGACACATTTATGGTTGTACGCCAAGGCAATGGCAACAGTCCCTCTTTATGACTGATTTTGCTCCAACGTAATATGTAAGGGTATTATGGCCTTGTGATTTCTTTCGAAAGCATCAATTTAGACTACAAAGGCAGTTAGGGGACTTGTATAATGGTTCCGTTACAATAAAAACATGTCGTCAATGCCTTTTCTGTTTGATAGATGAACATTTCATATTTCATATATTAAGCAATTATTCTTTAATAAAAAACATGTTCATATGAAATCACTAACCGTACTTAAATGCAGTAAGTACTGTTACATGTGAGTGTATAGTCTGAATAGAGACTGTCTGTCGGATGAAACATATGAGGAAGGGAACTAGTCATTCTTCAGGAGCGCCTGCTTCCGTATAAATAGACGGATACCTGTTTGTTGACACTTTAATTTTACTACCGTGCTTATTAGCGATTCTTATAAACTCAATGTATCAATATGAAAAGGGAATAGTTTTCGATGTATTTCATACATATATGGGACATGGACACCCTTGAGAAAAAGAAGATTAGATGTTCTGGATGGGCAAGGGTCTTCTGCTTCAACCCCACCATTTAAATCTAGATCAGATGCAAATACACTGTGATGTAAAGTCCTCATAGAGAAAACTGGGTTAGTGACAGCGAAACAACAATGCACAACTATGAGCATATTCAAGAACGTCAAACCTAAAACGCACAAAGAAATAACATATTCCCCAATGAGATCGTGATGACTAATATAAAAAGTGTCCATAGTATTCATTAACCCGCATCTTTGAAACCATATGTTGTAAGTTTTTATGTCAAAAGTTGTCATCTATTGTGTAAAACATTATATTAAGAGTATACAATTGGATACAGATCCATCTGCAACTTGTTAATACCGTGCAATGGGAAAACAGGGATGATGCTAATAAAAAAGGAAAGTTCGGAAATTCGAAATCGTTCTGAAATCGTTCTCTCTCTCTCTCTCTCTCTCTCTCTCTCTCTCTCTCTCTCTCTCTGTTTGTCATGTTTTAGTTAAAGATCGTGGAAAGCAGCTGAAAAAGAAGTGTTCATAATCTCTTTGAATTCAGTTATAGACGGTTTATGCACATCTATGGTAGCCTGTTAAATCGACCCTACTATAAATGAGAAGAAAACATGATTCAGATGACCCAAACTGTAAGATTTATTTTTCGATATTCACACACATATACAAAACATGGTTACATGGATTCGTCATGACATGTTTTTCAATCTATAAAATGTTTGTTTTATAAAGTCTCATTACGATTAGGGAAATTGTCAAATTTACAAAGACATAATGATTACATAAGCGTCCGAGTAACAGCGACGTTTATATTATTGAAGCGTCTTGTCGAACTCGTACTCTCCGAATCCCGAGCCCACACGAGTAAGCTGAGTGATGTAGTCTGCGTACTGTTTGATGGAGTCGACTTGTTCACCAAGGAAATCGTGCTCCAACATGTGACTCAACTGTCAAGAAATATTGCATACACAGTTTAAGTAGATAAACGTAACACTCACACACAATCCCAGAGGTGACTGCACATTTAACATTATCTTAGCACTTAATCAGTAGTTCCAGCTTAATTTGAAAATATAGAAAAATATTCATGCTAAGGTGTAAGGATCATTGGCTAAAGATCATCGATATTTAACGTGTAAAGCACATATGGTTTTACTGTTGAAAGACTTAACATTCTTGTTTCATGCGTAAGTATTGCACAGGAAAGCAATAGCTCATATTATAATTATACGCGTTCAAATTTTCTAGATAGTTATTACTCTCTATCTCATTTAGTTATCAATGTCATTGCTATGCCACGGTTTCCACTGATGTAAAGTCACTTACGTGTGGGTCGCTCGATGTTTCTTTGTGGAGAGTGAGAAGTGCATCATTAACGTATCTTTCAAGCACCAAGGAGTCCTGCATGGCCTGAAGACCTGCGAACCACGCAGTCTGACCCTTCTGTTTATGCGAAAATAGTCATGAGTTAGCTTATTCCGTCTTTGCGTATTGCAGAGTTATCTTCTCTTGTGAGCAAGGATTGATTGTTACGTCATTGGGTTGTGTGAGAAAATTACGTGGTTTTCTCAAAAATTGATGACTTTACTCTCACAAACCAATGACGTAATAATCAATACCTGCTCACAAGAGAAGATAACTCTGCAATACGCAAAGACGGAATACAAGTATTTAAAGTTTGTGTTATGATACATATGTACACTGTATATGAAATGATATATAATATGTTAAAATATTTAGTTTCATGAAAAAACTTATGGCCGTCTTATTTCAATTTCTTCTTATCTTTATTCCCATTATCTTATATAACGATATTCATAGACGTTTAGTATCATATTAAGCAATGTTGTTTGAAAGGTTCTTTTAACATAAATATATAAATGCATACGTTGAATGACCAAAGTACAGCGTTGACTGTTTACTGTTCTATGAAAATCTAAATTAAACAGAACAAGGAAAATGTTATTTGTTGTAGTTTATCTTTTCTTTTTACTTTATTACTTATTGATTATAACTACCGGATATTTGTCATTGAACAATTTAATCCGAAAACATGTGAAGCGTAAATTGAAAACACATTTATGTAGTACATACCAGGCATTCTGTATCTGTATGTGTCAGGTCTCTGGACATGAAGTTACATATCTACAATTAAAAATATATCATTGACCACATGGTAATTAAGACGCTATAGGGAATAGAGTTGTTAAATTCCGTTGACTAAATATAGTTATCTTTTCAGCACATGTTTAAGATTTCAGTAATATCAGTAGTGTTGCTTATATCATTTGACCGAGGTTACAATACAATAATTGTAGGAAAACGGAGATAAAATGTTCAATTCATCTGTCTTTCAGGGGACATAGGAGAAAATTATTCCTACACAAATAAGCTTGCAAGTCCGAGATTTATGAAACCGCAAAACAGTTTGCACGAGTTTTCTTATTCTGTAAAGTAAAAGCGCGTGTGCTTTTGCTAGTGACCAATATTTATTTATTCATGAGCTTATCACACACAAAAGTGTGGTAGAAGGGAGGTCGGGGTAGTCGGGGGATGCTAGTTCGAACCCAAGTGGAGGCAATATCTATATGTCACACTACTCCTCCCTGTTATAAAATGTGGCGCATCGACCAGGAACAACTTCGTTTGATTGCTCCTGACCTAACAAAGCACCAAGTAGTTTAAGTCGCATCAGAGATATTCCCGAAGAAAAATTAGTTAAGGCCTAGTCCAAAAAACGATCTTGGTGACTTATTTCGATTTCGACAAACTTCTGACCACTGAAGCCATTGCAACTTCTTCTATCCATATTTGAAATCAGGTTATGGTCGCTGATCAATGAGCTTTAGACTTTGCAATTTGTTAGAGATCATCGAAAACCTACCGGCAACTGTTTAACGCAGATACGGCGATATGCTTGCGACTTGTTAAGGTTGCAGCATGATAGTGTTGGAAGAATGAGGAGGATAAGACAGTGTTGGCAGCATTTTGCTTCTTTGGTCTGTCCTTTTGATTCCTATCTTTACGGGCTGCAGAGGTTTGAGATATTCGTTGACATGACCTCTTTTGATACTTTTAACAAAATGATGCAGTTATGCACGGGTAGGGCTTTTTATAGACAGTTCGTGTCGCAAACACAACGATGAAAGACAGGAGCACGCTCGGAAACTACTTTGAAACCGATCGACGACAATAGGTCGATGAAGTGCCTGTGAATCACTTAATAATCATAAATAGATCGCCACTAGATTACAAAAGGTCAATACCTTTGTCCAGACGAAACTGGTCACAGTAGAAACCATTCTGTGATTATATTATGAATACTTAAGGGACCGCAAGCTTTTGTTTAGTTTCATTCAAATCTACAATCCATTGCAAAATGTTTGTTTTACATATATGTCCCATTTAAATGCTGAAAACAACCAATTTTGCTGAAAAATTGTTTTGGCCAAGAGAGTCGACCAACCCTACCCAATGCGTTGCATTTATCGTAGTGCCCGAATGACATTTCCTGGTGTTAGTTTTGAGTAAAGAATCACTTAAGTTGTTTGAAAAATTGATAGTTTTGAAAGTCAACCGTTGAATTTACGTTACTTGAACCCTGCGTAAAATAAGCAGGTACAACGTGAAATGCAATCCCATCAGAAAATAACATACAGATGGTGATATATGTAGATGTTCAACAAGAGAGATAACTATGTCTACTAGGATTGCAATAAAACTTGCAGTATCTCTTCATTAGAGATCTATTATATCTTTCAGACTTTGATCATACTGACTTACACATGCTTCACGTCTATTGAATTGTGGGAAATCGCTCAGCTTTTCAGTCACTTTGTCACAGATGGTTTGCAGCTGGAAAACACATAGCATGATAACTGTGGTTATGTATTTAAAAGATATATACATTGTAGGTCCGGATTTGGGAAATCCTGATTGTTCTCTTTAAGTTTGTTTATCGATAATACAAAACATAATATACCGAGTGGTAGATACCACAAAACGAGTTTCATCCCTCAGGTGGAATTTATAAGTTAAGAAAAGGAATATTATGTTTATAAAACTTGTTATTGAACATCGTATCACACTCGGACCACCGGGATATGATGTTATATTTCAATAAAATAAAATAAAAATAAACATAAATAATAAATAAATAAATAAATAAATATACAACATTTGATATAGCGCCTTATCTAGCTAACATAAGCCAATATAAAGCGCTTTAATAATATTGAGTATATACTTTCTGATTGTTTGGTTTACTGTTAAAAATACACAACTTTATTTTCTAATTTAAAAGCATTAACTTTATCTTCATCACAAGACCCTATAATACTGTAGAATCATTTATTTCCGTGGGTTTAAAATTTCGTGATTTTCATCGACTAGCCTGTTTCAAGGACATTACATTTCGCTAATTTCTGAATTTCCCCTATCTTTATGATATCAATTTTATGTTTTCGTGGAGATTAAATTTCATGGATTATTGTTAACGACGAAATAAACGAAATTTAATGTCCCACAAAATTGTATGATTTTACAGTAGTTTCTTAAATAATTACTATCCTTACTTTGACGTCATCGAGGTTTATCTCTGCTCCTCGCATGTTCAGATAATCCATCAGTTTCTCGGCGTGGTCATTTTCCTCTTTAGCCGCCGTGGCAAACCACTTGGAGAACCCGTCCAAAGCAATATCGCCACGCTTGAAAAATTTACTCTGCCAAAAAATGACATATTGCTCTAAATATGACATTTTTCTCATATCTTATCTACAAAGTTATAAGCTTTACATCAGTACTATAACGTTTGTGTTGAATATTCTCAGTATTGTCCTTTATGTTTTAAACGGTTTTATCTATATTTGCACTTTGCAACATGTTATTGTTCCTAATAACCTCTCCTCTGTTGCGGGGCCGTAAAGCACGTAAATATAATTGTTAGAAAATGTTGTATATTCGTATTTGTGTTATTCGCGTTCCAAAAAGTCTTTTGAATTATATTAGCCGTGAGGGGTCATAAGTACTTATACTTACGTAGGCCTAGTAAAAGTAGCATGATTCATAAGTACTAATACTAACGTAGGCCTAGTATCATAAGTACTTATACTTACGTAGGCCTGGTAAAAGCAGCATGATTCATAAGTACTAATACTTACGTAGGGCTGGTAAAAATAGCATGATTCATAAGTACTTATACTATCGTAGGCCCGGTTAAAGTAGCATGATTATTAAGTACCAATACTTACGTTGGCGTGGTAAAAGTACCATGATTCATAAGTACTTATACTTACGTAGGCCCGGTAAAAGTAGCATGATTCATAAGTACTAATACTAACGTAGGCCTAGTATCATAAGTACTTATACTTACGTAGGCCCGGTAAAAGTAGCATGATTCATAAGTACTTATACTTACGTAGGCCTGGTAAAAGTAGCATGATTCATAAGTACTAATACTTACGTAGGTCTGGTAAAAATAGCATGATTCATAAGTACTTATACTATCGTAGGCCTGGTTAAAGTAGCATGATTATTAAGTACCAATACTTACGTTGGCGTGGTAAAAGTACCATGATTCATAAGTACTTATACTTACGTAAGCCTGGTAAAAGCAGCATGATTCATAAGTACTAATACTATCGTAGGCCTGGTAAAAGTACCATGATTCATAAGTACTTATACTTACGTAGGCCTGGTAAAAGTAGCATGATTCATAAGTACTTATACTAACGTAGGCCTGGTTAAAGTAGCATGATTCTTAAGTACCAATACTTACGTAGGCGTGGTAAAAGTAACATGATTATTAAGTACTAATACTAACGTAGGCCTAGTATCGTAAGTACTAATACTTACGTTGGCCTAGTAAAAGTAGCATGATTCATAAGTACTAATACTAACGTAGGCCTGGTAAAAGTAGCATGATTCTTAAGTACCAATACTTACGTAGGCCTGGTAAAAGTAACATGATTATTAAGTACTTATACTAACGTAGGCCTGGTTAAAGTAGCATGATTCTTAAGTACCAATACTTACGTAGGCCTAGTATCGTAAGTACTAATACTTACATAGGCCTAGTAAAAGTTGCATGATTCATAAGTACTAATACTAACGTAGGCGTGGTAAAAGTACCATGATTCATAAGTACTTATACTAACGTAGGCCTGGTTAAAGTAGCATGATTCTTAAGTACCAATACTTACGTAGGCGTGGTAAAAGTAGCATGATTCATAAGTACTTTTACTTACGTAGGCGTGGTAAAAGTAGCATGATTCATAAGTACTTATACTTACGTAGGCCTGGTTAAAGTAGCATGATTATTAAGTACCAATACTATCGTAGGCCTAGTAAAAGTAGCATGATTCATAAGTACCAATACTATCGTAGGCCTAGTAAAAGTAACATGATTCATAAGTACTTATACTTACGTAGGCCTGGTAAAAGTAGCTGGCTGCTTGTTCCTTGTTTATTTGGTTGACCACTTTTTCTATGTTTGCGTCCGTAAACGAGGCTCGGACAGTGTCCACATTTTTCACTGGCAGAACTGTATCAACAATAATAAAATACAATAGTAACAAACGTAAGTGTATCGATATCACAAATACCAAACTCTTGAAAGGCCAGATCAAGTTATCTGAGTTTTGTCCTATAGTGACAATAGATGTACCACTTTGGAAGCTAATACATTCAAAAGATCGTTTATATCTCGTTGCAGATAGGAATGAAATAGGTTTTCGGTATCAGTTCAGAATGACACGTTCAACTGGACGAGTTGTCTTCCATAAACGTGTTATTTCCCGAGAGTCGAAAATGGATTTTTTTTTTTAAATAACAGATAGGATTTAGATTTTTAGATCACTACTGCTGTATTGTGTTCAGTGTCCATCATGATATCACCATATATTATTCGCTCTCGAGAAATAAAACTAATATCGGAAAACAAATAATCATGCTGTCCTAGCAAAAGGGGCAATGAATATGCAAATTGTCATTTTACAGAAACAATAACAATTAAATATGATCGGGAAAGCTCAAGCGCGAGAGGAAAAACACGACGTCTCATTTTAAACTAGAGTGATGAACACAATCCAATCCAACAGCTGTTATAAGAATAAGGTATACTATTATGTCTTACGTATACATTTTTGTGCGGATTTTAAGGGAGATAAGAAGGGTTCAACGTGTGATGCCAGACACTCTTACCCTATTAGAACACATTCGTCCCCAATCAGTATTACGGTTTTGTTTTGTTGTGTACTTTGTTCCTTTTGTCTTTGATGTCGATTCGAATTCTGCCCTTTTATGTTGACTTTGTTTGCGACACATTTTACAACATAATACTTAATGAATTTATCTTTTACCCGATTTACAAAAAGTGGGTAGACTGATTATGAAAAGCAGTCTCACCACAACGTCGGACATGACGTCACGGCAACAATGGAAGTGACGTCATATGGTATCCTAAAATATAGTGTTTGTACTCACATTAACAAGGGGAAAACTTTTACCCATGCAATTTAGCATTCAGTGAAGTTATGGTCCTTTTACTCTTCACATGACTGTGAACAATTCGAATAACGAGCGTTATGTATGTTTAAATCAATCTCAAAAAGTGCTGTTTAAAGTAAAACGGAACCATTGTTACTATGTATACTTGCCCGCTAAACAACAAGCCACCAGGCTAAGGAGAATGATGAACGTCCTCATAACGTCGTCGTGTTTTCAGATTTGGTTCGGCTAATGGCGTCGGATGTTGCAATGACTCCAGTGGACTTAGATAGGTACAAAGTAGATTGTCTCCCACGTGACAGAGTTACTGTCAAAAGGTTATAATCATCTATTGATAACCACTGGGCTGAATGAACTTAGCTAGGTGGGCGCAGCGATCAAGGTAACTGTATCATGGAGGATGGACACTATACAGTGGTACAGAGTGACTATTGACATACATAGATATCATGTATCACGTGATATATATCTACGTAACTACAATTACTTAACAAAGTGTCAACAAAATCATATTGACATTGGTCCACGGACACAAATGTTCTGAAAATTGACCCTCAATCCGAAGGGGTTTGAAATAAATACCAAGGTCAAACAACGTACCATGCATAGTGTAATTAACAGGAGTCAAACGCATTCCGGTCATTACCGTTTGATTCAATTTCAGCGATGGAAGAAACTTACGTGATATGATCTTGTGTATTCGGAAATCCTACCGATTGCTTGAGAGTAAAATGTTAAAGGGTCTCAATGTTGCTTTTTTAATAATCATTTTACAAAATATAAATTTGTTGCATTTTAATAGATAAAATGGTTAGTATTTTGTTTCGGTTGAACAGTGTCTGAGTTTTCTCTGGTCCATGACATCAGACACCCTGACATATCATATCTAATTTCAAAAGAGATTCCGAACGAGTGCATTTATTCTCGTGAATGAACCTTATCATAGACAGGATGTAGAAAGGTATTGTCAGACAAAATGATAAGATGATATATATTATAATGAACAAAATACAATTTCAAAACGATGTTCATATTCAATACACTACGGTGTTGATGCCATACGCCAACTAAATCATAGAGATGAGGCAGTTTGCACTTATTGTTATTATCAAGTCAATTTAAATAGCTTTTAAGAAACTCTATGAATAGAATAGCATATAACAGGGGCTGATTCAGGGTTTCTGAAAATCTCAAACAAATCCTATCGAAAACAGTTCCCGAGGAGTAAAATGACAAGATTGGGGAATAGACTACGATCCATAAGGGTTATGGAGACTTCCCTGTTAAAAAAGAAAATGAAGTCCTAAAATTCGACATTCACAGTCATGTTTACCTGTTATATATACTGTACACGGATATGGATTGTAGTTGACCTCTCCTTTACCTGTACTATATATCTACCGCGTAAAGTGCGCAATGGTTGTGTACCGTAATTGCACACTAAACAACTGACGATTCGTTAATACCTTAGTTGATTTTTTTTTTGATTTTTTTTTGTTTTTTTAGTTGAATGCGCCATCATCCTGAGAACTAGGTTTAATCTTCTACATGTAACTATGCGAAGTGTTACATTAGAAAAGATACAGTCTGGTTTCTTATAAAATACCAGAAAAAAATGAATTTTCTTACTTAATGAAACACGGATGGTCGCGTACAATTACAATCCACTCTGAATTCTCCCTTTAAACTGATGCTTTCCTCAGCATCTGATACGTCAATCAGCCTTTTGATACTTTCTACCATGGAAGCTCATCTCGTTGGACTTTATGAAAGGTATACAAAAAATACGGTAAATGAAGGATGATTTAATATGAGATACGTTGAAGTCATATAACGTTAGGGTAAGAAGTATTTGGTACTCTAGATCTGGATTCGTTGAAGTTCTTTAACGGTAGAGTGATGAAGTATTGGGGAATCTGGGTAGGTTGAAGTGATAAAACTGTAGATCGGGTACTCGGGTTACATCGAAGTCATACATTGAAGTGATAATACTGTAGATCGGGTACTCGGATTATATCGAAGTCATACATTGAAGTGATAATACTGTAGATCGGGTACTCGGGGTACATCGAAGTCATACATTGAAGTGATAATATTGTAGATCGGGTACTCGGGTTACATTGAAGTCATACATTGCAGTGGCAATCCGGTAAATCGGGTACTCGGGTTGCATTGAAGTCATACATTGAAGTGATAATACGGTAGATCGGGGACTCGGATTACATTGAAGTCATACATTGAAGTGATAATACGGTAGATCGGGGACTCGGATTACATTGAAGTCATACATTGAAGTGATAATACTGTAGATCGGGGACTCGGGTTACATCGAAGTCATACATTGAAGTTATAATACTGTAGCTCGGGTACTCGGGTTACATCGAAGTCATACATTGAAGGGATAATACTGTAGATCGGGTACTCGGATTATATCGAAGGCATACATTGAAGTGATAATACTGTAGATCGGGAACTCGGATTATATCGAAGTCATACATTGAAGTGATAATACTGTGGATCGGGTACTCGGGTTACATCGAAGTCATACATTGAAGGGATAATACTGTAGATCGGGTACTCGGGTTACATTGAAGTCATACATTGCAGTGGCAATCCGGTAAATCGGGGACTCGGGTTACATTGAAGTCATACATTGAAGTGATAATACTGTAGATCGTGTACTCGGGTTACATCGAAGTCATACATTGAAGCGATAATACTGTAGATCGGGTACTCGGGTTACATTGAAGTCATACATTGAAGTGATAATACGGTAGATCGGGGACTCGGATTACATTGAAGTCATACATTGAAGGGATAATACTGTAGATCGGGTACTCGGGTTACATCGAAGTCATCCATTGAAGTGATAATACTGTAGATCGGGTACTCGGGTTACATCGAAGTCATACATTGAAGTGATAATATTGTAGATCGGGTACTCGGGTTACATTGAAGTCATACATTGCAGTGGCAATCCGGTAAATCGGGTACTCGGGTTACATTGAAGTCATACATTGAAGTGATAATACGGTAGATCGGGTACTCGGATTACATTGAAGTCATACATTGAAGTGATAATACTGTAGATCGGGTACTCGGGTTACATTGAAGTCATACATTGCAGTGGCAATCCGGTAGATCGGGTACTCGGGTTACATTGAAGTCATACATTGAAGTGATAATACTGTAGATCGGGTACTCGGATTACATCGAAGTCATACATTGAAGTGATAATACTGTAGATCGGGTATTCGGGTTACATCGAAGTCATACATTGAAGTGATAATACTGTAGATCGAGTACTCGGATTACATCGAAGTCATACATTGAAGTGATAAAACTGTAGATCGGGTACTCGGGTTACATCGAAGTCATAAATTGAAGTGGCGATCCGGTAGATCGGGCACTCAAGTTACATCGAAGTCATACATTGAAGTGATAATACGGTATATCGGGTACTCGGGCTACATCGGAAGGGTAATGAAGTATCGGGTTATCGGGGTACATTGAAGTAATTTAATGGTAGGGTGATACAGTATTAGGGACTCCGGGGTAGGTTGAAGTGATAATACGGTATTTCGGGTACTCGGGTTACATTGAAGTCATACCACGGTACGGTGAGGGTGATGAATTATCGGGTACTCGTGGATACTGATGTTCCACGCACCTTGTCACTGATAAAACTGTTATCTTTTGTTTACTCTGGGTAGAGTTATCGTATTGTTGTATCTCATGGATAGTCAGCTAACTGCCGATATTTCCAGTGTTAATTAGGACAATAAATCTTGTAAGAGTTAATTAGACATGCGGATGTGGGTATTAGGTGTGTTCGTGGCGAGTCTGGCGTGGTTGGCCTACGTGGGGCCGGGCAACAGTCAAATTGTAGAGGTTTCACCCCCGGACGAGCCAGGTACGTATACATCATATACTTACGACTTACTGAAAGAGGCATCTTCGTGTTCAAGTCATCAGTATGCAGTGGGTGACTAACGTAATTTCGAATAAAAAATATGTCAACATAGGTAAAAAAACAAAAACAATACTGGGATGGTTGTGATAGTGGTTGTGGAAAAGGGGGAATTAAAGTTATATAATGTATTGTGTACATGTGTTATATTATTACGGGGGTAATAAATCCCGATACCCGTGCTGATGAAATTCCGTCAGAGCGTCTATTTGATGACATATGCGACACGAATTCCGGCAGAGCAGGTTTATCGAAATCCATAACAACAGTGCACGGAATCCGTATGAAACTGTAGCACTTATGATATAGAATCGAATGTCAAGAAATCAACATGAGACAGGACTTTCTTTGCCCCGAAAGAGTCGTATACGGCTCCAAATGATATTCTCGCTGTGACGGATACAGAGTGCTCTGACAAAAGCCATATGCACTAGCATGAGTATCGGGAATACCCTAATGTAATATAGTTAATACAAACAAAGTATACAATTTGTCGAATGCATATCCAATACCACATACATGTGTTCATCTGATGTTTCAGATTCAAAGTATAAGATAAAAATATGGATGTTTAATGTCCATTAACGTGTTTTTGTCAAGGCATTTATTTCCATATCCTACCCCGTATCAATCTGCGACCCATATAAGTCCCTGGGGTAGGATACGAAATTGTTTTATGATAATTTGCAGCAGTCACATTATACAATTATTGACCTTTTTAGGTAAATTTGAGGATATGTCTACCCCAAAAAGGTAAACTTCCCCGGTGTAAAGACAGAAGAGACTATCACCCCTCAAGTGTCGACAAATCCTCCTAATAACCTAAAACATGCATACGATAGAGAGACGGGGCAACACAATTATAATTTTCATTGAACCGTAATTACAGACGCTCGCACACCGAGGAGCCTCCCGTCTGTCATCGGCCATATTTGTTAAAACAATGACGGAACCTAGCGGTCGGAAATCCGGCTTTTTGATTGGTTAAAATATATGTTGCTTGATGGATATTCCCTAAAATTACTATGTAGAGTACGGTTGATGATAACCTCACGAGAAGTTACCGGAATGCGATGTTAACCTCTCGTGCAGTTGTTAAACAAGCATTGCAATTTGTCAGTGCCTCTGAATGAGGTCCCGGCCAATCACAGATAAGCAAAACTGACATGCATATAACAAAGTCTGAAAACGGGCTGTATCACTAGAGCAAGATTTAACAAATTAAAAAAAGTAATGTACTTGTATGTGAGGGATTTTATATAACGTATAAAAGAGTGTACAAATATATTCGGTACAAAGTGCACACTGTTACACAGTAATTGGTGGAAAAAAAGTATAATGTTGTTATACGAAAATAACACCTGTTGGTTGATTATATTGAACAAGTCTAATACAGCTTAAAAATAATTCTATTATCATGTTTATAAATTAAAACAATGAAAGTAAGCACACGTTTCTAGATGATATCGAACAGTTTAGACAGTAAGAATACAGCTTAAAATACCTCTTTCACCATGCAATAAAAATCACAGACAAAACTACAGTTTTGTTGTGGCATTTGTTTTATATTGATTAATCTGGACATACTTTCTATATATTGTTTGAATGGTAAAGGCCACAATGAAATTGATCCCTTCAATTTCTGCTAAAGAGGTTAAAAAATCCAAACATTGATTACTCATAACAATTACTCAGAAAAAAACCCATTGAAAATGTATTTGAATTCATATTTTTCTTCGGTAATGCAAAAAATATCTTAATGTGAATGAATAATTTGTACGACTACAAGATTAATTCATGAACTGGTCATGTACGTTCATGTGTTCTATGTTTCGGCGAGTAGCGCTAACAAGGGACTTATAGTTTATGCGCTAGGGTAAACCATAAAAAGTATAACAGTCAGTTGGAGCATGATATTGTTTTCTGAAATCACAATCATCAATGCTTTTTTTATATAAGTATTGAAATTTATACTCGAAATCAAACTGTCTTTGTTGCACAGCGCCAGAACTGTTGTACGGCTTTGATGAGGTACAACCACGTAGCCATGTCAACAGAAACATCAGGCAGTCTTTCCTATCCTACTACCAGTACCTGGCCATTGTAATGTATTATTTTACTGTCCATACCATTTTAACAAAAATAAATAATAAAAATTGTGACTATTTTTACTGTCAATATCTACTACATGTAATTACCATTGTGACGTGTTTTATACTGTCAATATCTACTACATGTAAATTGCCATTGTGACGTGTTTTATACTGTCAATATCTACTACATGTAAATTACCATTGTGACATGTTTTATACTGTCAATATCTAATACTGCCTGTACCTTACCAATGGGACGTATCTACTACTACTTTGTTATTATGACGTATATGCACTCTCAATTTCTCCTACTAAAAGTATTCGACTATTGCAACTCATTATCTTAAACGTCCTTCTTTCGTCACAACTGTGTGATCATGTTGTATTCCTGTTACAGTCCTACTGTTTCGCGCGGCACAATGTGACCCTCCCAGGGTTCGAGGGACTGTTCCGATCCTACTCGGAAATGGAGCTGCAAAACGCAGAGAAGTTAATGGGTTATATGGTCAAGAGGGGGATGACCTTTGACTTCCATTCAATTAACGTCCATTCGGACAGATTTATACAGGTAGGCTTTCTGTAAAGGTTAACGCAGAGACGCAGATGTTCTAGAAACTAAAGTCTTAACAAAGAAAAGGGGTAATAAACATAATGACCTTATACTTTTTTTTTTTATAATTAAGAGTTACATAAAATGTCCATTTAAAACCGAAATAATTCTATACACAGTTTACGAAGAGAATTTTGTGTGTTGTTTTACCTAACGCCGCACAGAACTAAGAAATGCTACACCGATTTAGGGAACTGCACGTAGAATGATGAAGTATTGTTGGAGACTAATGTGCACCGGCCTTTATATAGAGAAAACAAATATTCGCATAGTAGAAATACAGTTATACTCGAAAAAAATCGACATTTACAAGTTCTCTATTTCTGTTCATGTTGTTGAGTACATTGAGCTTCTATAACATGCTCATAGTCAAGGCTCTGTGTTTATACAATATCGTTGAATGCTAGTATTTGAAATATATCTTTTTATGTTACATTTACAGTGTTATGAACGAGATGACACTGGTGAAACTGCGTGGAGCTACGTTACAAAGGTCACTGCACATGTTCTGAAGAACCAGAAGGACCTGTTGAATAAGTACAAGAAAACTCACTTTTCTGCTACGTCGCATAACTTCCCACATGTAAGTTCGTGCTGAGTGCCTTGTGTGGTACCGAAAATAAGTGCATTACCGAACGTCGCTTCCTTTTTATACCTTTCCGCGTAAACCTGGTTAAATATTATAGTGGGGTTTTTGAAAATAAAAGATAGTTGTGATACGGGGAAGGTGTTGGGAACCATATGTTTAACCATAATTCAGGTACATATATACGATCTGCATGAATATCGTCATGAAACGTATCTAATAACATGTCTAACACTAACTGTCCTTCTTACACTAATGATTCGTGCCCGATAACCGTGAAATCACATTTGTTTCCATTTTCAAGTTTTTAAAAGGATGCAATGTAGCTAATGTCGTTTATGTATTACAACCTTTCCTTAAACCTGTTATATTTAAGAATGAAGGCCTACTTTGTTTGTATTTGATTCCAAAACTTGGCTCGGCTAGTTGTTCAATATGGCAAGCCAACTTAACATTTATTCAAGGAGCAATGTCGATCCTGTATTTCAAAAAAAAAAAAAGATATCTTATATAGCATATGAGATATCTCATATACTATATATAAGATATCTCATATCGTATATAAGATATCTCATATAGATAGTTATGAAAATAAGCTAGCTACCTATTAATTTCATGCAATCCATGCATCACTGTGCAACATTTATAATCCCAACGATACCCTTGGGTGGTTCTCGATGTTAATGCAGGCATGATGGTTGCACGTATACACACGTTTATTTTGTTACCGATATGCATACATTGCTATGCATCGTTACACAGATATTGGCGTTAATCTCGTAGATAGAATTGGTTTACATGCAATACTTGTGAGAAAGGAATACAAAAATATGTTGATGGCGTGAAAACTGTAAATTTGTAGCAGTGTCCCTCCGAGAAGTAGTTTTGTATCTATATTTTCGGAATTCGTCAGTGATGGAGTTTAATCCTTTTGATAAATTGTTTTCTAAAGCGGGCGAAATTGCCCGTCTCTCTGACTGCCTGCAGCATTTGAGTGCTATTTGCATATAATTGACATTTGATTTTACTGACTCGGCACATTGTGGCTAAGTGAGTTGTTTTCAACGGTTAAGAGTCGACACATAGGCCATTTGAACTATTTGCTTGATTGACAATGGAATCAGACCTGTTCGAAAGCTCGCAAAATAAGTTTCTATCAACACAAACTTAACTGTTGTAATTTAGTGAATGATAAGAGAAATCACAAGTCTTTATCTTACGTCCCATTATCGCTTGTCGTTTACCTTAACATGCTTAAAGAAAAGAAAAGTTACAAAATTAAGCTGTTGATGTATATTTCTTGATTTGTAAACTTTCAGCTCAAAGCGTTTATCGAGGATGAATTCATGGAGCAGAAGTACCAAAAGATCAAAGAAATAGCCGACACTCAGACTCGTCTGGAGAGGATTCGGACCAACAACCATTCCGAACTCGGACTGTACCTGTTTGACCGGTCGTTGCTGTCGTGAGCATCTTTTGTGTTGTGTAAAGGCAAATCTTGCTCATCGAAGAAGACAGTATGAAATAAACTCTTTTGGACTTTCAGTAAAACAGCTTACTAGGATATTTTCGTTTTAGTTTGGAATCTTGCCACTGGAAATTAAGATTTCATTTTAATAAAGTTACTTGTCGAAGACTTTTGTCTTTGGTGTTTCATTTTTGACTCTGATAAGCGACTTCATTTTGGAGCATTTTCTGTGTGCCAATGAAGGATATAACAATAAATAAATCCGAAATTTTGAACGACTGACATGTCAATGCCACGTCAACAGGACACAATATTCACTTTTTGCATTTGTACCCCCAATATCAGCAATCGATAAATCAAACATATGCTTCTAAAAATATCGACAAGAAAAACAAAGGAAATACATTGTTTCAGTTAGGCTGTGAAGGTAGATGAACAGAAATTAAGAACAAGGGCTGTAGGAGAACAGCACAGCCCGTCTATTAAAATTATATTGGTAGAAAAGGCTAATAGTAATTGGGCCATTACAGGATGTCCCATCTTAGATGGTGCACTTCCCCATACACATATCTACCAAGTCCAAATGTTTCAAGTTCCTACTTCAAACAGTGTAGTAAAAGTTATTTTACCCCTTTTTAATTGCTTTAAAATGTAGAACTCATCATAATGTTTAATTTGATATGCTTTAAGACTTTTTTTTTTAAATTTGAACCTATCCGGTTGATCCCCTCTGGCCCTGCCCCTGGGGGTCATATCAAAAATCCGAAAGTGTCATGCACTCAATACATATATCTACCATGTGTAAAAGTTTCAAGTTCTTCTTCAAACATTGTAGAAAAAGTTATTTTACATTTTACCCCTTATCCCTCAAGTTCCTAACCCCCCTCCCTTAAACCATATGCTAAAAATAAGTGACTGTAAAATATAGAACTCATAATAATGTTTGATTTGATATGATAAAAATACTCTTATTTTTTTTTCTTAATATTTTATCTGTCCCCTGGAGCGTCAGGGAATTTGTACAATCTTGAATCCCCTTCCCCTAAAGATGCTCCCTGTTAAATTTGGTTGAAATCTGCCAAATAGTCCATTAGGAGATATCATTTAAAGGCATACTGTAAAATGTACCCTTTTGGCCACGCCCACCTGTCCCCTGGGGGGTCAGGGAATTCATTTGTACAATCTTGAATCTCCTTCCCCTAAAGATGCTCCCTGTTAAATTTGGTTGAAATTATTTATTAAGACGTTTAAATAATTAACAGTTAATGCCATTGAACGTATCTGTGTATGTGTGCTGGAAGGGGCATGTTGGTTTATATTACTCGCCTTCTTGTGATGGCGCGAATCTGATGTCGACTTTAGAGTGTCTCCTCACTGAAATACCATGCCAAAGGCACCTAGCACAGTAGACCACCGGTTACAATATGCTGACAATGGGCAAACCAGTTGATGAGATTACCCCAAATGATGAACATGAAGAAGGGAATGGCAGAAAAATGGTAGCATAACTTCACTGTATTCAGAAAGCATTTCTTATTATTCCATGTACACTGTAATACCAGTACACAGAGAACAGGGGCTAACTGAAGTGGAAGTGATGATATTGCTGATGGCCTACTGTGCAAGCTGAATTTGATACAAACAGGACCAACAATCCCCTTTGCAAAAAAAACATTAACATATGTTTACTTGTTTTATGAAATATTTAACAAGTCATTTAAGTATTCATGATCAAAACATTTATCACAATTTCCCTTGCAAAATTAACTGGCCTAAAGAAACAAGAGGTCCACTGGACCTGTATCGCTCACCTGGTTTTACATTTAAGTCATTACAACTGAATGCATTAGTACACCTTTATATGAAATTTCCTCAAATCCAGACAAGATCTATGTTCTAACCCAACTGGGACCACAATATCTGACTTTCAACTAATCAGGGGCCTCCACTGAGTTGCCATGTTAATAGATTTTGAAATAAGTAATATGTCATATTACAGGGTGTAATTAGACAATAGTTTAATTTTCATTCAACTATAAGCTTTTACAAACCTAAAAACCAATTTTTAACAATTTATAAAAACTATGCCATAGAATATGACAATCTAGCTGTACTATTTCTTCGGAACGCAGGGGTCAAATCAACCTCATTCAATTAAGAAATGTTTGCAGGCAATTAGGGGGTTTCAGCGTCTTAAAGCAAAATATTAGATAATTTTCCTCTTTGGGGCCCGGTCTTCCTAGCCCCAGGGGTCGAACCAGTCTCATTTATTTAGGAAATGATTGCCCTCCCCCAATGAAGTTTCAAAGCAAATTTGGTTGAAATATTCTCTGGTATTTAGGAGGAGATGTGTTTTAAAGCAAATATAGCTAAGTTCCCCTTCAGGGCCCCGCCCCCTGGCCTCAGGGGTCGAACCAACCTCATTTATGTAAGAAATGATTGCCCTCCGCTAGTGATGCTTCAGACTAAATTTGGTTGAAATCCTCACTGGCGTTCAGTAGGAGATGCGTTTTAAAGCAAATTTAGCTAAGTTCCTATTCAGGGCCCCACCCCCCTGGCCTCAGAGGTCGAACCAACCTCATATATTTAAGAAATGATTGCCCTCCCCTAGTAATGCTTCAGACTGAATTTAGTTGAAATCGTCTCTGGTGTTTAGGAGGAGATGCGTTTTAAAGCAAATTTAGCTAAGTTCCCCTTCAGGGCCCCGCCCCCCTGGCCCCAGGGGTCGAACCATCCTCATTTATTTAAGAAATTATTGCAGAATAAATTTGGTTGAAATCCAATTTGGCGTTTAGGAGATAGGTTTTAAAGAAAAAGTTGACGACGAACGCTGCGCCACGGCATAAGCTCACTTGCCCTTCGGGCAGGTGAGCTAAAAGTATCTCTTGCCTGGGCCAAAGCGCCAGTGGCAGAGATTGAGGATGAATTTCAATTTCACGGTTACCAGTACTTTATTTAAAATTACTTTACCACAGTATTAGTGACAAACTCAGAAAATTATATTATTAGAGCAATATACACCTCATGTAAACTTTGGTAAGAACAGGTGACAGAATACATTGTCCAGATGTCCCGGCAGGGAAAGCGTCTTCTACTTCTGCTTCAATATACATGTAGTTGCAGTCAAGACCCAATTTCTGTATGCGACACAACGCCATCCCAAGAGGTACGCCCATACATTTTTTTTATTACACAACTGTACATGTAGGTGACAGGAGTATTTGAGATATGTCCCAGACACAGCGAATCTGGTAGTTGTATAATAAAGGAAGATTCTGTGATATAGGAACGAACATGTTTATTGGTAAACTGCTATGGCTGACGGTAATACAAATACAACGTCCACAAACAATGCAGCCCTCTACAACACATTCTTTACATATATATTTGTATCAAAATACCGATTTAAAATTAACAAGTATGATTTTACTTTTAAAAAAACACATTGGTAATGAAATTGAAAATTGAAATTTTCAGCAATTTTTACATAACAATTCAGACAAAATGTCTATTTCTAATTTTCAAATATTACTCCCTTCTTTTAGCAGAAAAAGATAACATTTTTATATTGACAGGGTGGTTGTTCTTTTAATATAGCTTTGTAGTAAATCAAATCTGATAAACTATCTATAGCTCAATAGTGGTTTATGTCTATTTATGTAAAATACAGACTACACAACAATACAGAATGCCACACAATATCCGAGATGAATAATGGACACCAATATATAATGTCAGGATGATTCATAAAGACAAATCAAACCTCCAGATTAACATAGTTTGTTCTCGGACAATACTACCTATAAAGACAATTCACAAAATTGTACAAAATTTGAAGAAAATAATAATATTAGAAATATTTTGATCAACTTGTCTCATAAATTGCACCAGACTTAGATGTTTGATAGAGCCTTGTATATATATCACATGCATTTCTAGATTTTTTTCAGGTTTTTGCTAATTTCCTTTTTATGGTATCCACACACAAATTTTACAAAATCTTTGTTCAATACCTTGTTTTGAAAAAGAATAAACCAAGTTACATATACACAGGTATAGTCTTCATTATGTTACCGTATTAGTATTCCGTCATTGCGTATTGCAGAGTTATCTTCTCTTGGGAGCAGGTATTGATTGTTACGTCATTGGTCTGTGTTAGAAAATTACGTCGTTTTCTCACAAATTGATGACGTTACTCTCACGAATAAGTGACGTAACAATCAATACCTGCTCCCAAGAGAAGATAACTCTGCAATACGCAAAGACGGAATAACCAGCAGGTAACGAAGAACTATTTATGATGTACCGTGTACCACTACCATATCCAATGGTTCAAAAAAAGATGTGTTTTCTGGTCATATTCTGCATTGTAAAACACTTGAACATTGTGTGCTACATTTTCAGTGTAAGGTTATTTTTGTGTGTATTTAAGTCAAGAAAACATATAAAATATAAAATCTGTCAAAGTTTTCTTACAGTATATTATCATCATTTTGAAACAAGCACACATTAACAAACAAAACCTGTTTGTTAATATATGTAAAGAAATTTGTTAAGTATTTCTTTACAGTGCCTAGATATTTGTGTGAAGTAATGACAAAATGAATTCAAGAGCATTCACTGAAGAGATGCAGTAAAACATGAAAGAAATTAATGCTTTTCAAATACTTCTGTCTAGTCACTCTGCTTGAATAAAAAAGCAATGTCTCAAAGAACTGCTGATGACTTGCCAATCAAACACTGTCAACAACCTTGGACTAGTTTCAAATATCACATCAAACACTACTATTAAAATTGTCCAGAAGAATAAAACGGTATTTTGAAAAGGTTTGGCAATACAATTAAAGAGACATAAATGAGTTGTTCAAAAAGAAACATTGAAAAACAAGGTGACAGTGATGCTCCATACACAGGGCAAACGTGTTTAGTGTTACTGTACATAAACCATTCACAATGTTTATAATATCTACCAATACAAAATGTAAAACACACCAAACACAAAGAAAAATATAGCTCAGAGAGGCTTGGTGACCCGACTCTTATTTACTAGGCTTTTAATGTCTTCAATTTTGTGAAGGCATCACAATTTAGCAATAAAGACAGAACCTATATATACTATCAGAAATTAGGTCTGTAATGAACAAGATTATATTTTAAACACTATAAAATTCAAGTAAAAAAATATAAATTGCGTTTTAAGTGTACCTACAATGTTATGACAGAAGCAATTTTGCACATGTTGTACACATAGCGTGTTTATCCAAATACCTTTACCAGTAATTTTTGAAAATTTAAGACTGTTATAAGTGATAAACAGATGTGAAAACTTGTAGCTTTTATTATACACATAAGAAAATAGCAACTTCAGCATGTACAATAAAAATAAAGAGCAGCATGAAAAAACAACTGCTGTTTCAAGTTATGTCCTCATTACATCCTCGTTTTGTGAAAAATAATGCCAAAGAAGATACTAAACTCAGAACATGTATTGAATGAAAAAAAAATGAAAAATCAAAAGAAATTATTAGAGGAGAATATTCCTGGTTAACTGTATCTCAATGATAACAATCCTGCTTTGTGATTATAATATAAGAAAAGTTTTTGATAAATTGTGAAGTTAAGTTTAATGATATCAAACCTGGATTGTTTTCTCTTTAATACTGTAGTGTCCTTGAAAATCTAGAAATATTTACTGGTCTGGAAAGCATCAGCTAATCAGGATTGTGGAAGTATCTGCACCCTCATTCAGTAGGGATAGATTCCACACTTCTTCACATTTAGCCTGACTTTAATCACAAGGCAATCATACCAAAATACTGTAAAAAAAATGCTGAAGCAGAAAAGACATACAGTAAACAAATCTTTATTGAAACTGAAAATTCCTATAACGGAATTAAATATACAGATTTCACTTATCTTTATGTCGCCTAGGCATTGCCATTATGTAAGGACATCTCAGGTTTGACTGAAATCAATATTCTATTCATGAAGTATTGATGTAAGGCAATATTTGACATAAAGATGTGAGGATTACATTGTTATACCTCCCACTTTTTTCAAAAATTGTACAATAAAAATTCACATACAAGAGATGGTACATTTGGTAATACACAACACTTGTCTCTTAGTATTTTCATTTTTTTTCAAAGTGTAAATGTTTTCAACGGCCAACTGCACATGTAAACATGAGTTCAACATGAATATTTATGTATCAATTTGTTTGAAAAGCTCGCGATACATAATTGATAAAACTATAAAATCAGGTGACTAAGATGTGGAACCAGCAAGCAATTGTCTCTTACCTGTGGACTGTGTACCAATTGAATGGAGATTTCAAACATCTTCTATGATATAGTTATGATAGGTACTTAAAAGGAAATATTATAGATGGTAAACCAAACACTTCACAAATAATACCTCATAATATACAATTTTGATATGCTAATGAAGATATTAGTCTGGCAAATTAATAACTGCAACTATGATTTGTAACTATCAGTTACCTCCCTTATTGTTATGCTGTTGGAAGTATTAACAGTTTCCATAGCTTTCTGTCAACAAATGTCCTTTTACCAATCTGTGGAATTATTTCATTCTCTGTATATAATGAGGTATATGTTTGTGGACTTTGGGAACAATCTTTAATTCTAAAAATAGATAATCAGCAAAAGAAAATAACCATATTTGTCATATTAAGTACTTCTCTTACGTAATATACACATCCATATATTTTTCCTTACTTCTTCATCATAAAAATACCTTAAGGGTCAAAGGTCATAGAGGAATCCTATTCAATCTGATGAAGCAATGTTAGCACCATACTTAACACATTATTCAACAAATGATTAAGTTTCCAATCAATATGATGGACAAGAATACCACTGTGCTGAATGTTTTTAAGTATTAAACCAAGAAAACATGGTACTTAATACGGCAAATATGGTTTTTACAAAAAGATTGATAATAAAAAAAATCAAGTCTTCACTTATACCACATATAGGTCATTTAAATATTGAAAGTTCAAACATAGAGTATCATTGAAATAATAAAGTGCATACCCGGTACACACAAAAATTAATGCCTGTTTTTCTGTTTTTTTTTTTTTTTATTGAACTTGTCAAATTAAAACATGTGGCGAATTAGAAATATACACATGTATTTTTAAGCATTAAGAATAAAAAAATCCTTTGTCTGAGGTTTCATAAAGATATCATTTCCTTGATGCTTTCACTGGCCATGGAGGATGATCTATATAATTTGACCTTTGTCACTAAGATTTGTTATCTATTTATAGTCTAGACTGCATTCATGGAGGGAGCAATGAATTAATTAGATAAAACCAAGAAAAATTATCAACGTTGGTATTTTTAAAAACAATCACACTTTCGAAATTTCATTTTAGAATCCCTCAGAACATGGAATTTCGTTTTAGTGTGATACACTATGGTAAATAAAATGAATGTTATTGATTGCCTATACATACTTACATACTAGCAAAGTATGTCAACCCTCTCCAGGTTCAATTTTTACCCATGACTGTTAATAATGTTAAGGATGAATGCTCCTTACACAATATAATCTGTGGAAAGTGGTAAAAGGAATGAAGCATATATTGCTAACTGACAATGTTCTACTAAAGTTAAAATCCTTAAGATACACCAACACAAACAGAGAAATTGTTCAGAAGTATAACTCGTAATATGCTTTGATCTATAAATGAAATCATGGGTTGCCATATATATATATACATTTAGGTACATTCGAACTAGAATACAATATTGTGATCTGATGTATATAAACCTTTTTTTATATATCAACAACTTGATTCCACAAACACATACCATCACATATATATATGATATGAAAACAAGCAAGCGTCTTGTCTATAAAAATAAGAGTGCAGCTTTTATGGGTAGGTTTCGGTGAGAGTTGGGTAACAGTTTCCTTCGTAGTTTAAACATGTGTAGAACTTATCCCTCTAGTTTCCACACCTTTCATTCCCTTTCTGGACAGCTTTTACCTTCTTCCTAAAACCAGTATAAACAGGCACAATACAAATAATGTTATTTAATATTACCATAGTAAGAGATCTACATAAAATAGATCACGATAAACAAGAATGAACAAGGTTACCGCGAGCGGTATATAATACGCCCGTCACACATTGAATGAGCAGTTGTTTGTATGATTGAAATATATGAAGTATTTGTGAGTAATTGATATTAAAAGAGAAATCATTCAACATAACTGGTAGATCAATGAGTGCAATACAACATCATGGAACGCATGCATCGCATTAATGAAACCAAGGGTAATTACTCCAGTAATTACGGTCGGATAATGGCGGTTATCAAACTTGTCCGTGGTTTCATGGTAATTAACCTTGTTGTGAAGTTTGAAGTTAATCCGTTAATAAT